AGTTTGTGTCTGAATATGCTAATATCTAGAGGTCCTGCAGATATGTTTAAATGGAAGCTTCTGCTTCTGCTGGTATTCATTCATGTCTTTTGGTGTGGCTACTTTTTATTGTATGCCCTACAAGGTACTTGCAAAACTATTTATAGAAATTATTTTGAGGCCTATGGCATTAATTTTTCTATTGCTGCATAACAGTATTACCACAAATTTAGCATCTTAAAACAACAGGCATTGATTATCTCATAGGTTCTGTGGGTCATGAGTCCAAACATACCTCCACTGGGTCTTCTGTCCTGGGTTCTCACAAAGCCAAATCAAGATGTCAGCCTGAGCTGTGATCTCAGCTGAGGTTCCACTAGGAAGGGATCCACTTTCAAGCTCACATAGTTGCAGCATGCAGTTCCCTAAGGACTACTGGACCCAGGGCCTACTTTTTGCTGTTGGCTAGAGGCCACCCTCAATTGCTTGCCATGTGGCCCTCTCTGAAGTCCTGGTCACAACATAGCAGCTTGCTTCTTTATTCCGTATTTTTTTTAAGATTTTATTTATTTATTTGACAGAGAGAGAGAGCAGGAGAACACAAGCAGTGGGAGTGGGAGAGGGAGAAGCAGGCCCCCCACCGAGTAGGGAGCCCAATGAGGGGCTCGATCGTAGGACCCCAAGATCATAACCCGAGCCAAAGGCAGTCACTTAACCAGCTGAGCCACCCAGGTGCCCCAGCAGCTTGCTTCTTTAAAATCAAGAGAGAGAATTAAAATAACAAAAATAAAATAGGGGCACCTGGGTTGCTCGGTTGGTTAAGCCTTGGACTCTTGGTTTCAGCTCAGATCAGGATCTGAGGGTTGTGAAATTGAGCCCCACAATGGGCTCCATGTTTAGCATGGAGTCTGTTTGGGATCCTTTCTGCTTCTCCCCCTGCTCACACACATGCGCACGCTCTTTCTCTCAAATAAATAGATCTTTAAAATTAAATAAAATAAAATTAGAGAGAATTCCTTAACAAGATGAGCATTACAATCTGATGTAATGTAATCATGTCACATTATCACATACAGCCCATCATCTTTGTGGTGTTCCATTGATTAGAAGCAAATCATAGGGCACCCCTACACACACACACACACACACACACACACACACACACACACACACAAGAATACCAGGATACAGGGATCATGGGGGGCCACCTTAGAGTCAGTCCACCACACTTAGGATATTAATTTCCTCTTGGCTTCTGCCAAGCACCTGGGAGCTCTAAATAACCTAGATAATCTCATTTCATTTCTTACTCAATTACCTAAAAATAAACGTGTTTCAACATAATCTAATTTATTAATTTACAGCAAAACAAAGATTTACTTTTTTAGCCTAGAAAAAATAGATGGTACAAAATTTTCCCATTAAATTATATTGAAAATCTATTTTTGGAGATTTCCATAATGGAAAGAAAATTCTATTATTACATAATGGAAATTTATGCCTAAAACATGAGAATCTAGAAATTAGCATAGAATTATAAAACTTTCAAAGCAGTTGATGTTTTGCTAATATCCTCATATGAAAGTCTCTTAAATGTTGAATATTCCTACTATTATATATTGTATCACTCAAGCCTGCATTACTAATCTTGAGAAAGAAGAACAAAGCTGCAAGTATCACAATCCTAGATTTCAAGATATACTACAAAGCTATAATAATCAAAACAGTATGGTACCAGTACAAAAATAGACACACAGATAATGGAACAGAATAGAGTCCGAAATAAACCTAAAATTATGTGCCCAATTAATTTACAATAAAAGAGGCAAAAATATACAATAAGGAAAAGACAGTCTCTTTCATAAATGGTGCTGGGAAGGGGTGCCTGGGTGGCTCAATCACTTAAGTGTCTGACTCTTGATTTTGGCTCAGGTCGTGATCTCAGGATCATAAGATCCAGCCCTGCATCAGGCTCTGCACCAGGTGTGGAGGCTGCTTGGGATTCTCTCTGTCCCTCTGCCCCTCCCCACTCTCTCTATTTCTCTCTCTCTCTCAAAAAGAAAAAGGAAGGAAGGAAGGAAGGAAGGAAGGAAGGAAGGAAGGAAGGAAGGAAGGAAAGAAGGAAGGAAAGAAAGGGCTCATATTTAAAAATAATAATAATAAATAAATGGTGCTGGGAAAACTGGACAGCTACATGCAAAAGAATAAAACCAGACTCTTTATTACACCATACACATAAATTCAAAATGGATTAAAGACCTAAATGTGAGACTTGAAACCATAAAACCCCCAGATGAAAACAGGCAGTAATCTCTTTGACGCTGGCCTTAGCAACATTTTTCCAGATATATCTCCTCCAGGCAAAGGAAACAAAAGCAAAAATTAACTACTAGGACTACACCAAAATAAAAAGCTTTTGCACAGCAAAGAGAAACATCAACAAAACAGAAAGGCAAACTACTGAATGGGAGACAATATTTGCAAATGATATATCCAATAAGGGGTTAATATCCAACATGTATAAAGAACTTATACAATTCAACACCAAAGAAATAATCCAATTTAAAAACTGGGCAGGAAAAAAAAAAACAGGCAGAGGACTTGAATAGACATTTTTCCAAAGAAGACATAGATGGCTAAGAGACACATGAAAAGATGCTGAACATCACTAATCATCAGGGAAATGCAAATCAAAACCACAGTGAGATGCCACTTTACACCTGTCAGAATGGCTAGTAACAAAAAGACAAGAAATGGTAAGTGTTGGCAAGGATGTGGGGAAAAAAGAACCCTCATGTACTGCCAGTGGGAATGTAGATTGATGCAGCCACCATGGAAAACAGTATGAAGGTTCATTAAAAAAAAAAAATGTAAATACTACATAAATCAGTAATTCCACTATGGGGTATTTACCGAAAGAAAACAAAAACACTAATTCAAAAAGATATATGCACCCCTATGTTTATTGCATTATGTATAACAGCCAAGATACGGAAGCAAGTGTCTATCATAGATGAATAAATCAGATATGATGTGCACGCACACACACACACACACACACACACAGGAATATTACTCAGCCACAAAAAGAAATGGTAGCTTGCCATCTGCAAAAATATGGATGGGCCTAGAGGACATCAGGCTAAGTGAAATAAGTCAGGGAAAGACATATACCATATGATTTCACTTATATGTGTAGTCTGAAAAATAAAACAAAGCAGAAACAGACCCATAAATATTGAGAATAAACCCATGGTTGCCAGGAGTGTGGGGTGGAGGGAAGGGAGAATGGGTGAAGAGGAGTGGGAGATATAGGCTTCCAGTTATGGAATGAGTAAGTCACAGGATGAGAGGTACAGTATAGGGAATAGAGTCAACAGTATTGTACACGGTGACAGATGGGAGTTACACCTGTGCTGAACTTAGCCTGCTAAGTTCATAAACATGTAACATATAAACCTATCCAGCCACTATGTTGTACACCTGAAACTAATGTAACACGGTATCAACTAAACTTCAAGAATACCAAGAAAGAAAAACAACAATAAAAAATGGGGCATGTGGCTCAGTTGGTTAAGCATCTGACTCTTGATCTCAGCTCAGATCTCAGTTTCAGGGTTGCGAGTTCAAGCCCTGCGTTGGGCTCCATGCTGGCTGTGGAGTCTACTTAAAAAAAAATAAAATAAAAGCTTGCATTGCTAAATAGAAATAACATACGGACTAAACCAGCATACTGGAATTATAGTCTGTGATGCTGATATAAATTTAAAATATTTGAAGAATGTTAATTTCACTTTAAAAAGGAAAATCTGAAATTCATAAAAATTTGTGCAATAGATACTGCATCCCTATCTTTAAAATACTGATTTTAAAGCACCTGGGTGGCTCAGTTGGTTGAGCAGCCAGCCGACTCTTGGTTTTGGCTCAGGGCATGATCTCAGGGTCCTGGGATTACCCATGTCAGGCTCCACACTCAGCAGGGAGTCTGTGGATTCTTTCTCTGCCCCTCCTCTGCTCATGCTCTCTCTCTCAAATAAATAAATCTTTTTTTTTAAAGATTCTATTTATTTGACAGAGAGAGACACAGCGAGAGAAGGAACACAAGCAGGGGGAGTGGGAGAGGGAGAAGCAGGCTTCCCGCTGAGCAGGGAGCCCGATGCAGGACTCGATCCCAGGACCCTGGGATCATGACCTGAGCCGAAGGCAGACGCTTAACGACTGAGCCACTCAGGTGCCCTCAAATAAATCAATCTTAAAAAAATAAAATATTGACTTGGAGTAGGACATTATATACATTTTGGAATCTCTTATTCTTTTTTTTTTAAAGATATTTATTTGTCTTAGAGAGAGAGAGACAGCACGCGCACACAAGCAGGGAGAGCAGCAGGCAGAGGGAGAAGCAGACTCCCTGCTGAGCAATGAGCCCGATGCGGGGCTCGATCCCAGGACCCGGGGATCATGACCTGAGCCGAAGGCAGATGCTTAACGGAGCCACCCAGGCGCCCCACAACCTTTTATTCTTATGTGAATAAAGTATCAGGTTTATTCTTAAGCTTTGTAACGATGAGACATGCTTTTGAGGTAAGCATCTAAGAAACTAAAATATATGACTACTCTCTCTGGGAATAAATTTAAAAATATAATCTACCTATCACCCACCTTCGGTAGAGACACTAATTGCACCTACCTCAATCCCGTCCTCCTTTTTTCCTCCAATGTTCCCCAGGCATATGGTCATCTGGAATAAAGGCTTTAGTTTTTCATCTTTCCTTGCAGTTAGGTGGGGGGCCCTCTCCCTTGCCGACTAGTGTTGATGCCAGGGAAAAGGCTTGAACAGCGATCTTGGATGTGAGACAGAACCCAAGTGCGGATGTTGCTAGAGCACACAGCAGCCTTGGGATACTTACCTCTGAAATTCTTTTAAGTGAGAGGGAAAACAAACTTTCTTTTTTTAAAGCCACTGGTATTTGGGGTTTTGGTTTTATGCTGTTGTACCTAACCTTAACCGATACACATTTCAGTTGTTGGCATATTACTCCTTTATTAGAAATTGTAAATGAGAAATTATTTCAACACCTGAAGACCAAACTATAACAGAAGACTCCATAGGTTCAAGATTGTGAGACATTCTGGAAAGAGTTTTCTGTAAAGTGTATCCTTTCCGTGGCATGGCAACATCATTCTTCTTTAAAAAAGTTACCGGGCAGACATCATTTCCACCATCACCTATATAAACAATTCGTGTATAATTCACTCCCTTTTGTAACTGTTTATCTACAAATTCTACCAAAACTACATTTTTGCAAAGATTTTTTGGGCACCTGTTGCAAGAATGAGCATGATAATTTTCCACAGTGAGATGACCATTGCTATCAAAAGCTGCTGGATTTGTAAACACTTTATCAAACACATCACGAAAACTGGTAGCTTCTAAAACCCAATCTATGAAGACTGAATTTGAATCTGAAATAATGATGCAGTCAAATTTATCCTTGTTCTTTCTTATAAAGTTCAAAAGTTCCACCATCCCTAGAGTGAAAGGCATTGATGTCACTGCTCTTTTCATTTCATCTTCTCTTACACCTTCATCTCCCAAATACTTAAAGACTCTGCCCATAAATTCTGTCCAAAATCCTTTTTCGTAAGAATCTTGTAGTTCAATAGGAAGCTTTTTCTCTGGAGCACACTGTACAATCCAGGTGTCACTATTATCATCTATGATTGTATTGTCAAAGTCAAAAACAAGTAAAATTTTCATGGTTCCAAAAGCAAATGTGGGTTACCTGAAAAAGAAGAAATATTGTTTCCTAAACACACTGTTTTACATGTCCAGCTATTATACTTACTTAACAAACATTACTGAATGTTAATCTGCTAAAACAAAGGGTTAATATAAAAAAATTAAAATGATTAAGCATTTAAGACTATCATTTAAGCACTTTTTCCTAAGAAGCAAAGTCCATTTTGAGTATTTTAAGTAAATGGAAACAAAATATCTAAAAGGATATTCACAGTATTTTTGTGTTCCGGTAGGGATGATTCTTTGGGCACTCAGAATTAAACTACAGAGTAAGCCAGTGAGAGGAGTAATGAAATAATTATCCTCTTATAGTCTAATTTAGAAGATTTATAAAAAAAAAAGTAGGCTAATCACTCTTATTGTTAAAATTATCAACCACAAATTAGCTTAAAATATTTACGATAATCCACATATAAAATAAGTCATATATAAATCCTCTGTATACTGACCTAAATTCTGACCAAATTTAACACTATGACATCTTGCAAAATTTGAGTAATTTTCCTAAAAAAGGTATTTAGCTTGAAATCATTAATGCCAGTGTTATAACTAAATGGTTGCTTGATGCTATACTTGAAATCCTAAACAAATTACTTAAAGTTCGGAGTCAATTCTATTCTTCTAGACTAGAAGTAACTTTTGTTAACAATGTTCACATTTATTTATATTTTCTTGAGACAGTTTAGCTCTGGAATACCAAATAATCTGGGTATGTGTGAAAAATCGCATTGCTTATGATATGACAATTACTTAATTCTTTATTTTCATTAAATGATAATGAAGGTCATTAATTATAAATCTCAAGAAAAGGAAAAACTGGCCAACAGATGGTATGGATAAAAATTATGTAAAAAAGACAGTTATAAAGAATACCTAAGAGAAGCTACAATTACTGTGTATAAACAACAAAGAAATCTTTTTTTAAAGAGTAACTAATACTTTTAAAGATATCACAATACACCAGGCACTAAGCTAAGAACTTTACAATCTCATCATCTCACTGAACTTCATAACCCTATTAAGTAGAAATTACTATCCTTATCTTAAAGATGCATAAACTGAAGCTTAAGTATTAGTTAAGTTAGTTAAGTTTTAGTTACGTGGAAGAGCTGAAATTTGGACTCAGGTCCACTTGACTCCAAAGTCATACTTCAAGAACCGTATTCTAGTGCCCAAGAAATAGAATATTTAAAGCTTATTAATCAGTTTATTTTCTAAGTCTATTTATTTACTTTTTTGGAATCTCTCCACCCATATGGGGCTCAAACTTACAACCCCAAGATCAAGAGTCACATGGTCCTCCAAATGAGCCAGCCAGGTACCCCACTTATTAATCAGTTTAAAAATAAATACTAGGTAGGTCATTTTGACAAAAAGATGTTTATTACATGAAAACATTCATTAGTCCCAAAGTACACACTAACCATAATACCACATCCACGACCTACTTATAACCACTCTGAGGTTTTAACAAGAAATCCTAAAAAGAAAGTGAAGAACCTCACCAATAAGAAAAAGAAGATATCAATCAGAAATGGAAAACATGGCATTTAACCACATATATTCTCTGGTTTAGCCAGGAGGTGAATAGATATCCAGCAGGTGAACGTAAGAATAGAGTTTATTAACTCATACAAGACTAAGTATTCTATGTCTCTCAATTTAGAATATCTGGAGAATAACTAATCTAGAAGGGTAGCTCTTGTGTGAATTTAGACAGTATATAATATTGTGATACTCTGGATCCTTGTATCTCTAAGTATCTAATCCAGGTGTCTATGACTGGCTCCCAGAGATTTAAGTTCAGAATTCACTGTCATACAAACAATGTAACAAATAGCAATAAGGCATAGTTGGCAAACACATTAGTACTACACTCTAGGCACACTTTAAATTAAACATGCTTGGGGCACCTGGGTGGCTCAGTCATTAAGCATCTGCCTTCGGCTCAGGTCATGATCCTGGGGTCCTGGGATCGAGCCTTCATTGGGCTCCTTGCTTGGCGGGAAGCCTGCTTCTCCCTCTTCCACTCCCCCTGCTTGTGTTCCTGCTCTCGCTATCTCTCTCTCTGTCAAATAAATAAATAAATTTTAAAAATCTTGAAAAAAATAAACATGCTTTTCAAGCATTCTGTATTTATACTTTTTTTTTAAGTTTTTCAAATGTAACTCATTGGTTGAAAACTGTCTCAAACCTAGATTTAATGAGCCACAAGTTATCCAAATTCCTGAACTATTAACCTCAAAATAATAAGATATATCATAAACCTGAAGTTAACATAGTTCTGCTATTGACTATTAATTTCTAACTGAAAGTGTACTTTTTTTTTAAAGATTTTATTTATTTGACAGAGAGAGAGACAGTGAGAGAGGGAACACAAGCAGGGGGAGTGGGAGAGGGAGAGGGAGAAGCAGGCTCTCTGCCGAGCAGGGAGCCTGATGCAGGGCTCAATCCCAGGACCCTGGGATCATGACCTGAGCCGAAGGCAGACGCTTAATGACTGAGCCACCCAGGCACCCCTGAAAGTGTACTTTTCTAATTTCAGATCTTTTTCTATCAGTTTTTTTGTCACCACTCAATATAAACCTTTATTAAAAAATACTTACCCAACTTAGTATTTCCAAGACAATTATTTTTACTTCAGAATAGGGTTTAGGTTAAACAGTCATGACAATCTTCAGTTTTAAACACCAGCCAGTTTTTAACCAACATTACTCCTACTCTATATGCAGGGAACAAAGTCTTCTGGTTTGGAGCAAAGAAAACGGAGACTTCTTAACTCCTAAAATTAATAAAAGTATTTAAGATATTTTTAAATTTATGTTTTCTAATTATGCTGTTTTCTCTTCTATCAGAGAGGCACGTATTGGCAATGGGAGAAACAAAATCTTGATTAAACAGAGGTCTTAATTATAAAACAGGGTATGTTATATGAATCTACCATTTTCATCCAGTGGATAAAATCACAAGTGTTAGGCTGATTATGTTGAGATTTCCAGATTCCATTTTTTATTTTTACTTGTTAAATAACAGACAAGTACTACATTCTGTTGTCAATAAGTTTTCAAAGATTAGTGCTATATTTTTTTTAAAAAGGTCTCCAAAACTTAAGGATGTGCACAAAAATTTAGTTTTAAGAATGTGAATCTATTTTGAATCAAATTTGTTAAAATTCCAAAAGCAGTTATTAACTATTCTCTTCAAAAGCATGAGCAGTATCTATTTGGTATCTCTGCAATGTTTCCAGTATTAACAATAGCCTATGTGTTTTTTACAATAATGAAAATCGGAAACTACATAGACATCCAAGGATTGGGGACTGATTAAATAAGATATGTATGTGATAGCCGGATAATGGAATATTTATTTAGCCAGTAAAAGCTAAGATGTTTAGTACAAATTAGTCACTAAACAGTGTGTACTGTATAATCTCATTTTTGTTTTAAAAAAAAAATCTATGTGTACAGCGGTAGGATCATGGGTGCTTCAATTTCAGTGCATTCTTTTTCTACACTGATTTTATAATAATTTTTCCCCAGAATAATTTAAACTGTTCCAGATCAAAATGCAAATGCTACCTTAATTTCACAACAAAATGAAACACAGGAGTGGAGTCAGAGAGATAAATAACTAACTCTAGATAGACTTAGTTGTAAACGTCCATGGGTTAGGTGAACCAGGTATTGGAAGTTGAATGATATCGGGCTATCATGTCAAATTGGCAAATTACTGACATCGAATTTTAATGATTCAATACTTTCTGTAACCTATTTAGTTAAAATTCCAGAGAATTTTTGTTGGGAGGTAATTCTCCATGGGTCTCTATTGGTTCTACATGCCTTACAAGCAAGACATTCACTGCGCTATGCTCTGGGCTATTGTCTCAAAAATGTATGTATAGTGAAAAGCCTTGAAAGGCATGTTTATTGTTAAGTATAATAAATATTATGGTTCCCTAAGCTCAGGGCTCCTGTCCTGTAATGCAACACACCCCACCTGCAGGTGACTTCTGGTCCTCTTTGCATCACCCTGTGGGAAGTGGGGCAAAACTGCTGATATTGGGGCTACTGTTACTGCTGTACATAATTCATCTCTGCCTAGGGGTCTGTGACTTTACAAAACCGTGGCAGACTGCTGTTAGCGTGCAAGTGGGATAACAATTTCTGACCCTTCCCAGCTCTTGACATTTTCTAAAACTATGCTTTCAAAAAAACCCCACCAATGCTATATGTGCAAAAGCTAATTTCTGTCAACAAATATTTTATTAATCCCTTCATACTTACCAGCATTATTACGGTGGAACATCTGATAGAAAACCTGAAGAAAAACAGTACAACTATGTGTTAGAACTTTAGTGATGAAAAATCTTACCTCCTTTCATTTGAGCGACTCTAGTTTGGTGCCTAATGTGTAGGTGTCCTAGCCAACTAGCTTATAATGAAATCATCTGTACCCCGATGTGTCAGAAAAGGATCTTCTGAAACCAAGCCTGCATCCACTCTTAACAGATTTTTGTGTCCTTCGTGGTCTGACTGGTCCCACAGATACATTCAATTTCACTATACTGTATTTACCAAGCAATTTAAAATGTCCTAAAGGTCCTAACATGAATGTTCTGGGACAATATCCAAGTTCCCTCTCTTGCGGTGTCTCTGTCAAATAAATAAATAAAATCTTAAAAAAAAAAATAAGGTTCATCTAGCCTGGATCATGGCTTAGAAACCAAAATATTTAAAAACAGATTTTCTGTCCATTAATCTCTGGGTTTCAATGGAAGGGAGGCCTCCGCCCTCCACCTTCCACCCACGAGGAGGTCTGTGGGCCGCACAGAGCAAGCCCAGGCCTCGCTCTCCCACACACCTGCAGGGTCCGCCCTGAACGGAGGCGCAGGCACCTCGCTGGGGTCATCCCCTGTGAGGAGAGCGTTGGATGAGTATGGGAGCACCAGGCCGGGCCCGGTCCCCAGGACTCCTCACTGACCCAGACCAGGCGTCAGCAGCTGTTCTGGCCCCCGTGCGGCTCCCGCGTACTCTGCCCTCCGACCTCGTTCCTGTGCCTGTCAGTGAGGGTAACCCAACATGCACGCTGGGCCACGACTTCCTGCGCAGGCGCAGTCCCGGTTTCCCAGCCCTACGGCCCGTTGCAGCGCGTTCAACGTTCCTTGGCGGCGGCGGCCTCACTTCCGGCGGCGTTGCTAAGCAACTGAGCCGTTTGGCAAACATTCGGCCTGCTGGAGTTCTACTCGGCCAGCGTCGGAGTCGCCTTTCCAAGTCACAGAGTGCCAAGGGCACCCCGTCAGAGATGCTGGTGCGGTTTGGAAGGCGCTGTGGACGGCCGAAGGAAGGCACAGGTGAGCTAAACTGGCCTATCTAGGCACAGGGATTGTTTCTGGCCTCCAGGCATAGGGTGAGAGGCAAGGGTGGCAAATGAGAGTTTTGGTTACTTTTTGAAAAGGGCTCCACCAACTCGAAAGTAGCCCCATGGGCATTGTTGGGCTCTGTGTAAATGGACAGTTTTGCCTTCAAATAAATGGGTAGATGGGGGAAAGTTTACACATATAGGAGCGGAGAAAAGATAAGTCAGAGACTCCCAGTTGACCAGTTGGTCTGATCCTCAAGCTGTGCAGTTGCCCCTCCAAGAGTCTGGTGTTTGCTGAATTCCCTTAAGCTTTTGTTATTCATTGAGTGAATTGGTATATATTTTGGAAATATCAATGACCTCATTAGAGTCTTGGCTGTGCTGTGAACCTACTGAGTACTCTTAGGAAAGTCTCTAATGGAAATGTCTCGATTTCTTCATCTCTAGAGTGAAGGAGTGTAAAAAATAATGCTACTTAGGTATTGTAATCTAGATGACCTGTTATAAAAATCTGATTTCTGAATAGAGGAGGCCTAAGGGGACATCTAAAGAACTCTTTAGCAATTCCAATGATTTTATTTTAAGTCTGTAAATTCCCAATTAATGTTGTCATGGTGACCACTTGAACCTTGGGAGTTTGGACTTTCTTCATGTCATTGCCTGAATTTCTGTAGCAATAGAGCCTCCTTATGCCAGATGCAGAGTGAGGGCCAGCCATTATCTCACCAGTGGACACTACTGGGTATTTCTGCAGTGAAGGGCCATAAGTAGCAGCAGAAGGTCCTGACTGGTTGGAGAGAGACAGTACCCACGTGACATGTATTGAAAAAACACAACTCTCACATACTCATTGTATTATATACACAGTACTACAATAAAAGACTTTGACTTCTCTGATGTTAAATAATGTTTTGTGTCATTTGGTCCAAAAGTTACCATCTGAGGGTTATCTGACTGGCTCAGTTGGTAGAGCATGTGACTCTTGATCTCCAGGTCGTGGGTGTGAGCCGCATATTGGGTGTGGAGATTACAAATAAATAAACTTAAAAAAAAGTTACTATCTGAGCCTCACTGCTAAATTATTATCTCCATTTAGAAGAGGGTGAAGTAGGAGAGGGGTTCAGATAGGTAGACAGCTATCTGTAAAACAACTATCTAAAGATTTAGTGGGGTGACATCAGCCAGAAAGGTGGCATAAGAATCTCCAAAAGTCCTCCTCTCTATTAAATCAAAAAGAACACTGACAAAAAGATTGTCAGAACCAACTTTTTTTTGAGAACTCAGGAAGTTAACCAAAGGCTTGCAACAACCAGGAGTGTTTGTCAGGAAAAATAGCTGAATCTTGGTAACAACAATAAGTTTTTTGGCATTTTAACTTGCTCTAATCCCATACTTTTCTCCTAGCCCCGTGGAAGTCTAGAAAACCACTGCAACCACAGTGAAATTCAGTGGCTTAGTAACCTGTGGAGGGGGCAGAACAGGACTGGATCCTCCCCAAAGCCTCACCCCCTTTCTTTAGATAACTGTTATTTGACCTGTCTCACAGTTCCCCTGGAAAATCCCACTCACAGGGCTTGACTTTATTTGACTTGACTCAGAACTTACTGGGTATGTTTGTTAAAATGATCAGGAGCAATTTTTTTTTAAGATTTTATTTATTTGACACAGAGAGAAAGAACAAGCAGAGGGAGTGGCAAGCAGAGAGAGAGGGAGAAACGGGTTCCTGCTAAGCAAGGAGCCCAATGCAGAGCTCTATCCCAGGACCCTGGGATCATGACCGGGGCCGAAGGCAGCCGATTAACCAACTGAGCCACCCAGGCACCCCAGCAATTTTTTTTTTAACATCACAGCTATCTGACATAGTGATAACTGTTGGGTATAAACAACAAACTAACCAAAAAACTTAAGAATACCTGGGAAATGAGATGTCCATAAGGGGCAGAAGCTCCCTACTTATTCCTGGGAATCCAGGACAAATACATGCATAGTGCTATGCACATGCCCAGGAAGTACCTGAGAATGAAGCTTTCACCTCTGGCTGAATTTGAGGCTCTCTGTGAGAAAAAAAGTAAAGGCTAAGGCAGAGTTGTAAACTATCTGCCTGAGAGTCGAAGTCATGCTCCACCACTCACAGAGAGTTTCTTGGCAAAGTCTGGGAAACTTATTTAAGAAAATTTAATTTAATTTAAGGAAACTCTATCCAGTTATTAGCTGACAACTAAACTAACCAAGCTGAGATTCCAATAGCCACATACAACAAAGAATACAGACTTTACAGGCTTAGTTCAGGAAAATCACTAAACAAACAACAACAACAACAACAACAAAAACCTTGGGTGTAGGGGGAATCTAACATCTAGACTTGCCACATATTACTTAAAATGACAGGGGCGCCTGGGTGGCTCAGTTGGTTAAGCGACTGCCTTCGGCTCAGGTCATGATCCTGGAGTCCCGGGATCGAGTCCCACATCGGGCTCCCTGCTCAGCAGGGAGTCTGCTTCTCCCTCTGATCCTCCCCCCTCTCATGTGCTCTCTCTATCTCATTCTCTCTCTCAAATAAATAAATAAATAAAATATTAAAAAAAAATGACAAGCATGCAAAGAAATAAGAAAGTATGTCCCAAACAGGACAAAAGTTTTAATAGGAACTGTTCCTGAGGAAGCCAGATGTTAGACTTCCTAAACAATTTTCTTGTGTAAATTTATAGCTATTGTGAGTATATTCAAAGAACTAAATGTCAAAGGAACTACAGGAAAATATTAAGAATGCCGTCTCACAAAATAGACCATATCAATAAAGATACAGAAATTATAAACAGAAACTAAATAGAAATTTTGGAGTTGAAAAGCACAATAGTTTAAATGAAAAATTCACTAAAGGGTCTCAATAGCAGATTTGAGCTTGCAGAAGAAAAATTCCATGAATTTGAACATATGTTGATTGAAAGTGTCCAGTCTAAGGGGTAGGAAGTAAAAAAGAATGAATAAAAATGAGCAGATCCTCAGAGAAATGTAGGACGCCAACAAGTATACCAACATGCATGCACTTTGAGTCTTAGAAGGAGAAGAGGAGAGAAAGGGGGTAGAAGAAAATATTTGAAGAAATAATGACTGTAAACTTCACAAATTTGATGAAAAACATTACATATTACATATTAAAGAACTCATTGATCCTCTAGATAAAATAAACTCAAACAGATCCAGAACCAGACATAGCTTGATCAAACTGTCAAAAGACAAAAGCAAGAGCAGCATATATATTCCTCTCAAATGCACATGGGACTTTTTTCAGGATAGACCATATGATAGGCCATAAAACAAGTCTTTATACATTTAAAAGAATAGAAATCATACAAAATATATTATCCAGACACAGTGGAATGACATTAGAAATCAATAATAGAAATTTGGGGAATTCACAAATATGAAGAAAGTAAATGCTTTTAGATTTTAAAAAATGGGTCAAAGAAGAAACTATGCAAATCAAAACCACAATAAATGGTGGCTGTATGGTGACTAACATAACATAATAAAAAGATGGTGGCTGTTAGAATGGCTATTATCAAAAGGATAAGAAATAACAAATGTTGGTGAGGATGTGGAGAAAAGGGAAGCCTTGTGCACTCTTGTTGGAAATGTAAATTGGTGCAGCCACTATAGAAAACAGTATGGAGTTTCCTCAAAAAATTACAGATGGGGCGCCTGGGTGGTTCAGTTGTTAAGCGTCTGCCTTCGGCTCAGGTCATGATCCCAGGGTCCTGGGATCGAGCCCCGCATCGGGCTCCCTGTTCAGTGGGAAGTCTGCTTCTCCCTCTCCCACTCCCCCTGCTTGTGTTCCCTCTCTCACTGTGTCTATCTCAGATAAATAAATAAAATATTTTAAAAAATTACAAATAGAATTACCATATGATCCAGGAGTTCCACTTCTTGGTACTTACCCAAAGAAAGTGAGGACACTAATTCAGAGAGAGATCTGCACCTCCATGTGCATGGCAGTATTATTTATACAAGTCAGGATATGGAAACAACCTAAGTGTCTACTGATGGGTGAATAGGTAAAGAAAATATGGTTTATATGTACAAAAATATTATTTATACACAGAAAAGAATAAAATCTTGCCATTTGCAATAACATGGACTTTGAGGGCAATAAATCAGACAGAGAAAGACAAATACTGTATGATGTCACTTATATATGCAGAACGTAAAAAACAAACAAAAAACTCCACAAACCTCCCCCAAAAAACCACGCTCATAGATAACAGAGAACAGATTGGTGGTTGCCAGAGGCAGGAGGTGGGCCGTGGGAGAAATGGTGAAGGAGGTCAAAAGGTACAAATTTGCAGTAAGTCCTGGGGATGTAATGTACAGCATGGTGACTATAGTTAATAATACTATATTGCATAATTGAAACTTGCTAAGGGAGTAGATCTTAAGAGTTGTCACAAGAAAAAGATATCAATATGCTTAACAATATGTTAATCAAAAGGTAGATGGTTTAACCTAGTAGCCTTTGTTTAGTTAGCCTTTAATTGCAAGTAGCACAAATAAAGTTGAGACAGTTTAGGCAAAACAAAGGAAATTTGTTAGAAGGATGTATTTGTCAGGACTCTTTGGTTACAAGTGACGAATCGAACTCATAATAGTTAAAAGGGGACGATTTTGGCTCACATAGCTGGGAATTTAGATATAACTTGATCCAGGACACTATTCTACTTCCCAGCTTTGTGTAGTAGCTTTATTCTGTAGGCGGATACTTGGTATGTGATAGGCAAGATGGTACCTATGGTTCTAAACTCACACTTTACTTTAGCAACCAATTTCTCAATCCCATCAACCTTAATTCAAACCCCAAGGAGACTCTTAATTGATTCTGGCGGCTTTTCTCTCAGTATCTTTATCTCTTTCTGAAGCCATGTGATTTCTTCTGCTTTTCTCTGTATATCTGTTTCATTCCTCTTATAATAAAAATAGTAAACATAATAATAGCTAACATATATTGAGAACATATTGTGTGCCACACCCTATTCTAAATTTTTTACATATATAACTTCATTTAATTCTCACACCAACCACATAAAATAGGTCCTATTAATATCTCCATTTTGCAATTAAGGAATTAGTTAAATAATTTTGTCTAGATTTACATAGTTCATATGTGGTATGTTCATTTAGGATGCTTTTTAATTCATATATAGAATACCCAGCTCAATCATATTTAAAAATAAGGAAATTTATTTGCTCATGAAACAGGAACTCCAGGCTTCAGGTCTGATTGATTTGGCATCATAATGAGATCCTCATTGCCCCACATTCCTCCTTTGTTTTTCCTTTGTGGTTCACAGTAATAGCTTCTTTGTAAGGCTACTTCCTTTTGTGGCCATAGGATGGTTGCCTCTCCGTTCTTCATGCTTCCTTGTTCATATCTAGTTTAAGAGTCACTCTCAAATGTCTCTCCCAGAAGAACAAGAAAGAACTTTTCTAAAAGTCTCAAATAAATCTCTTTTCCTTTTGTTTTCTTATTACAGAAATAATTATTGGCAAAGGAGATGCAAGTATTCTTAAACTAATGAGACCCACCCTGAGACCGTTCTCCAAATTACATTGTTGCTACTCAATTAAGAAGGGGTTGAATAGAGTCAATGATGATGTCTACAACTTCTAAAGATGAACGTCCCCGAAATTATCCATTTATAGACTGCTACTTGGTTAATTTTGAAAAAATGGGTTTTTTTTTTAAAGATTTTTTATTTGACACAGAGAGAGAGAGAGAGATCACAAGGTGGGGGGAGGGGGCAGGCAGAGGGAGAGGGAGAAGCAGGCTCCTGGCTGAGCAGGGAGGCTGATGCGGGGCTCCATCCCAGGACCCTGGGATCATGACCTGAGCCAAAGGCAGACGTTTAACCAACTGAGCCACCCAGGAGCCCCTGAAAAAAAAGTTTTAATAACATTTGTTTAAAACAACAATGTTTAATAATGATGTTTTAATAACAAAAAGGTATTATTGATCTCAACTTCAAAGATGTTGATACTGAGTCTCCAAAAAGTTAAATGACTTGCCTAAGTTTACAGAGTAAGGAAATGACCGAGGAAAGACTCAAATCTGTCTTTTGATTTCAAGTTCTTATATACTTTGCACTTAATCTCAGTGTTCTTAAAATCACAAGAATAAAATTATTTAAAACAATTTCCAGATATGACGATACAGAAATGTCTGAGAAAAAATATTTAAACTTTTGAAAGTCTTTAATATTCATTTTTAAAAATTTATTAGAAATAAAGAACTCTGAAGAAGATCAAGCTCTCTATCCACCTCTTCTACCTAGCAAGGTAGATCTCCGGCAGGTTACCATAATTCCACACAATGAGTGGAAAAGGATTCAAGATAGCCTTGACAGTTTGACAAGAGAAGCAGCATGTCTTCGTGCAGAAAGAAAGGCAAAGAAAGAAATGCATTTCCGGTCCCAAGAAATGGTAAAGCACTGGACTAATACATATGCAGTAAGTATTAATCACCCAGGAGTACACATGCACCGAAGACTGACTCTTTTTTCTTAGTACTCTTTTATAAGTATTTTTTACATGTAAAATCATAAAAAATACTTTGAAACACATTTTCAATAGCTTTATTTAGGAGAAGTGACATACAATAAAGTAGACGTATTTAAAGTGTACAATTTGATGTTTTGACATATTTACACATCCCTGAAACCATTATAATTAAGATAATGAACATACTCATCACCCAGAGTTTCCTCATACCCAGTTTACTCCCTCTCATTCCTCCCCACCCTTCTTCAGGCAACTGATCTGCTTTCTTTCTTTTTTTCTTTCAAGATTTTATTTTTAAATAATCTCTACACCCAATTGGGGCTTGAACTCACAACCCCGAAATCAAAAGTTACATGCTCCATCAACTGAGCCAGCCAGGCAGTCTTGATCTGCTTTCTTTCTTTTTTTTTTTCCTTTAAGATTTATGTATTTATTTGAGAGAGTGTGTGCACCTGTGCACACACAAGCAGGGGGAGGGGCAGAGGGAGAATCTCAAGCAGACTCCCCGCTGAACACGGAGCTGAATGCAGGGCTCCATCTCAGAACCCTGAGATCATGACTTGAGCTGAAATCTAGAGTCCATCACTTAACTGACTAAGCCACCCAGGTGCTCCTGCCCTCATCTGCTTTGTATTGTAAATTTCATTCAACACAATTATTTTGAAATTCTATCATGTTGTGTATATCAATTGTTCATTCATTTTTATTGCTGAGTAGTATTCCATTGTATCACACTTTGTTTATCTGTTCAATTGTTGATGATTTTGGCATCAACCAAATCTTGATATATGAGCTGTTTCCAGTTTTCGGCTATTATAAATAAAGCTGCATATGAATATTCATGTATAAGTCTATTTGTAGACATATGCTTTCCCTTCTCCTGGGTAAATATCTGGGTAGAATGGCTGGATAATATTATGGTTGCATATTTAACTTTGTAAGAAACTTCTGAACTGTTTTTAAAAGTAGTTGTAATTTTACATTGCTGTAAGAAGTGTATAAGTGTTCTATTTTCTCCACATTCTTACCAACTTGCTATTGTGAGTCTTTTTAATTATAGACATTCTAATAGGTATGAAGTAGTTTTAATTTGAATTTCTCTAATTACAATGATGCTGAACATCTTTTTATGAACTTTTTTTTTTAATTTTATTTATTTACTTCATAGAGAGAGAGAGAGAGATCACAAGTAGGCAGACAGGCAGGCAGGCAGGCTGAGGGAGAGGGAGAAGCAGGCTCCCTGCCAAGCACGGAGCCCAATGCAGGGGTCGATCCCGGGACACTGGGATTATGACCTGAGCCAAAGGCAGATGCCCAACCGAATGAGCCACCCAGGCGCCCCTTATTTTCTATGGTCTGTCTTTGGTGAAGTGTTTATTCAAATCTTTTGCCCATGTTTAAATGGGGTTTGTTTTGGTGTGCACCTAGTGGTTCAGTTAGTTGAGCGTTTGACTCTTGGTTTCACCTCAGGTCATGATCTCAGGGTCCTGGGATCAAGCCCCAAGTTGTGCTCCGTGCTCAGAGCAGAGTCTGCTTGAGATCCTCTCTCTCTCTCTCTCTTTCTCTAAACTAAACAATTAAATCTTTAAAAAATAAATGGGGTTTGTTTTCTTATTTCTTATTATTGGGTTTAGGGAATTTTAAAAATATATTCTGAATACAGATCCTTTATTAGATATTTGATTCAAAAATATTTTCTCCCAGCTGTGGGAAGGGACACAGAAACTTGTAGTACTTTGCTTTAGGAACAGTGTTCATAATTTATTCTTTTTTCTAGAAGAGGGAAAAATATCGTGACATATCATAATATTACATGTAATATTATAAATATTACATGTAATATATATTACATATACCATATATTACATATATTACATTCTGAAAAATGCAAAACTACAGGGAAAGAAAACGGATCAGTGGTTGTCAGGGCCTGCAGATGGGGGAGTGGTTGGTATAACAGGGCATGAGGGTATTTTGGGGGGGGGGATGGAACTGTTCTATGAGTGACAAGTGTGCATTTGTAAAACTACACTAAAAGGGTATGTAAATTATACTCTAAAAAAACTTGATTTTAGAGAAGTACCTGTCCACAAAGGGATGAGGGAGTGGAATATACTATATATACACACAGAAGTAGCACACTGTACGTAATACTTTATATCTCCATGGATGTTAAAATATAAGAAGAAATATAGTAAATGTGGTAGAAATGTAGTCATAAAAACTGTTTTATAGGCACAGAGATTGACAAAATAATAGATCATAAGAGAGAGCCTAGAAACACTCACATGTTATATATGGGAACTTGACATATGACAAATGTCAGTCAAGTCAGAAGGGAAAGGATTGGGTATTCTATAACTAATACTGAGATAATTGGCATATGGAAAGATGAAATTATATCCTTATGGTATAGAATATACAAAAATGAATTTCAGCTGGATGAAAGACCCAGATGTGAAAAGTAAAACAGTAAAAATTTAAAATAAATCATAGAATATCTTCAGGATTTTAGGGTAAAGTAAGGTTTTCTTAAGACATAAAAAGTATGACCCATAGAGGAGAAGAGAGACTTCATCTGACATGATACATTGGATAGACTCCTCATAGGTGTAGAAGAGCATATAAATATGCTACTGTTGATTTTTTTTAAAGGAATAAAAATAGTAATATATATATTTATATAAATATGGAAAGGAACTTTGGAAGCAAATATAAGAAACTGATAATAGTGGTTATCTTCAAGATTGCTGATGGAAGTTAGGATTAGAGGGAGAGCTTCGCTGTATATCTTTACAATATTTTGGAGTTTTGAACCATGTAAACATGTTACCTACCCAAAAATTCAATTAAATTATTAGCTGTAGTGTAACATCATATTTTATTTATTAATGATATATACAACTACAATAAAAACTCATAATGAAAGCTCAAATTATTTCATCATATGTAATGTTAAATTTTGTGAAATTAAGTTGAAAAGTGGAAACAGAAGACTGATTTTTTTCTTTTTTTTAGGGGATGAAAGAACAGAAACTTGAAGCCAAAAAGAAGCGTGATGAAGAAATAGAGGCAGAAAGACAAATTCTTGATATAGAGGAAGAAATATACAAACAAGGAGAAAGAAAAAAGGCTATTGAATTTGCAAAGCAATATCAATTTTACCAGACAGAAAGAGTGAAACACTTTCATGTACTACTTGGGTTTTCTTGTATTTCTCTGTATATTTAACATATCTATACATAATTAGACTTTATTTTCTTAAAATGCCACAATTTTTTTTTTTTGTAGTCAGGACTTCTTCTTAGTAGAGTTATGAAAGAACGTGATGCACAGATTGAATCCCAAAAGAAAAAAATAAAATCAGATAAAAAATGGGAAGAACAATTGAAACTCAGCATTGAAAAAGCTTTTAAAGAAGAACAAGAAAAAGCAGAAAAACGACGCAGAGATAGAATGGCTCTTGCCAATGATCATTTAAAACAGTATGTATATATAAATTACCTTTTATTTTATCTTATTTTTCTCACAAAAGCTTTTTTTCAGACTGTAAAAGTAATACATGCTGAAATACCTAGTAAGTAGAAAAAATACAAAGAAAGGTTAAAAGTCTCTATTACTCTCTTACCCAGGGATAATATATTAGTTACTATTGTCACAATAATGCTGCATAGCAAACAACCACACGATCTAGTGTCATTCAACAATAAACATTTATTTCTCATGCTTCCATGGGTTGGTTGGCCCTGGCTGTATAGCTTTTCTTCACACTATAGAACTGGTTGGGTTTGCTGATTGCTGTGGGGAGGGCTCTGATCTGCTCCATGTGTATTCATTTTTAAGATCCAGGATGAAGGGGGCGCCTGGGTGGCTCAGTTGGTTAAGCGACTGCCTTCAGCTCAGGTCATGATCCTGGAGTCCCGGGATCGAGTCCCACATCGGGCTCCCTGCTCAGCAGGGAGTCTGCTTCTCCCTCTGACCCTCTTCCCTCTCGTGCTCCCTCTCTCTCATTCTCTCTCTCAAATAAATAAATAAAATCTTTAAAAAAAAAAAAAAGATCCAGGATGAAGGGACAGCAGCCACTTGGGGAAACTTTTCTCATGGTATTGACAGAGATGCAAGAGAATGAGCCCGAGCTTACAAGAATGTGGCTAAACTCAAAGGCAAAAGTCAAGGAAGTGCACTTGATCTACCATAAGTCTAAAGCAAATCATATGACCAAGTCTAACAACCATGGAACAGAGAAACGGACTCCCATGAAGTGGGAAGTGAGAGAGTGAATCATTTTGAGCAATAATCTAATCTACCACAACAATCTGTTCTTGTTTTGACATATTGGTATATAGCCATATGGACATTTTTTGGTGGTGGTGGATGGGGTCAGAGTCACTGAGCTATAATTTACATTTACTAATAAAATTCACCTTTTAAAAAGCATATAGCTATATAACTACCCCTAAATCAAGATATAGAATCCTTCCATCCCAAAATTTCCCTCATGCCCCTTTGCACTAAGTTATATTCTTCCCCCTCGGGTCCTGGCAATCATTGAGCCACTGATACAGACTATTTTTTTCTGAGCATATATACTCATATTTTATAAAATGAAATTGGATCAATAGTGTCATTTTATATTTTTTCACTTACCAGTATATCATGAGCTTTTGCTATATCAGTAAATAGAAATCAAACCTGAACTTTTGTTAAGAAGTAGCTACTATATATATCAGGAGAGGGGATTATATTTGTGTCTAATTTTACTTACTTTTCTAAATAGCTGATACATGCAAATAGGAAAAGGCACAAAGGGGATTCAGTAAAAAGTCTCTTCCTCATCTACCGGCCACCTTGTTTTTCCAATGTGAGACTTACAGTTTCTTTACATTGTAGTTCAAATGTGCATAGATTGTGTAAATGTATCAAAACATTTTAAACAATATTATACTAAAAAGAAAAAAATTATTTTTATACTTAAACATATCATTAATATATGATCATTATAGAATTACAAAATACAATAAAACAAAATGAAAATTAAAATCACTAGAAACTCTGTGATCCAAAGTAGGTACTGTTAACATTTGGGCATATATTTGTCTACTTTTCAAAGTTTTTTTTTTAATTTTGCAACTAATAAATGAATATATACTTGTTAAAATTCAATACAGCAAAATTTGGAGTAAAATTGAAAAGCCCATCTTCATATCCACCCTTTTCAGTGTCTCTTTAAGTCCCATTTTCCTCTTCACAAATAGCCATTATTAATAGTTTTGTGACTACCCCTTCAGAATGTTTTATTACTATTACTAATATCTGTATACAGGGCATATTTAACTGTGTATATATTTTTAACAATGAATGTTTTACAATGTATTTTTCTGTGTCTTCATTTGTTCACTCAACAATATACCTTGAATATCTTTTTTGCCAGAATATATGGATCTGTCACATCTTTTACAATAATCATATTGTACACTAAGGATATACCATTATTTATTTAACTATGTCATTATTGAGAGAAGTTTGGATTTTTCCCTCCATTTCTAACAATGCTGGAGTGAACATCCCTGACCATATATATTTTGTAACTTTTGTGCAAAGATGTAGGTATGTAGGGTAGATTTCTTGAACTGAGCTTGGATTTTACATGTGGAGAGATACTGCAAAATTGCCCTCTGAGAAGGCTTTAAGTATGTAATCATCAGTTATGTCTGATTCCCTTTTCTTTATGTTATAATCAATTCTGGGCAGTACTTTTTTTAGAATTTAAAGGACCAAAAAATAGTATCTTTTAATTTACGTTTCTCCTAATTTCTAGTGAGGCAGGTTATTTTTTCATGTTTAAATATTCATTTGTTTTGGTTTTTATCATAAATTGGTTACTCCATTGTTCTCTTGTATAGGTTGTTTTGATTAATAAGCAGTTTTTATATATGTTGGATATTAATCTTTATTGGACATATTGCAGATTTTTGTCATCTTTTCTGAATGGTGTTAGTATTTTCTTTTTAAAGATTTTATTTTTAAGGGGTGCCTGGGTGGCTCAGTCTGCCTTTGGCTCAGGTCGTGATCCCAGGTTCCTGGGATCGAGCCCCGCATTGGGCTCCCTGCTCGGCGGGAAGCCTGCTTCTCCCTCTCCCACTCCCCCTGCTTGTGTTCCCTCTCTCGCTATGTCTCTCTCTGTCAAATAAATAAATGCAATCTTAAAAAAAAAAAAAAAAGATTTTATTTTTAAGTAATCTCTGTACCCAACATGGGGCTCAAACATACAACCCTGAGATTGAAAGTCACATGCTCTACCTACTGAGCCAGCCAGTCACCCCTGAATGGTTTTAGTATTTAGAAGACACTAATTTTTATGTGCTTAAATCTGTCTCTTTTTGTTATTATGGTTTTGAGTTTTGTATATATATATTTACTTCTCATAGTCACAAATGTCTGAGTAACATAGATATCAATTCTCAGGTTACATGTGTTGCCATATTGTGTAGTCTTCATTTCTTGTAATCCTTAGTAAAAAGAGAAGGGAAACCTCTGGGTTTATTGTAATTTTTTTTCTTTGTCAGTGTAGAGACCCAAGGGTTTATGCAAGTTAGGAACAGAGCCATTGGCCGAAGGAGGCAAATAGTTGACCAGTGTGCCACGTTTGAGAAATCTCTCTTCTGTTGGCTGTTGGGGCTCTGAGATAGTTACAGGTAGTAGACTGATCTCCAGGAAACTGCCTGGCAAGTGCTAACACCTTCACAGGCCATCTACCTACCTATATAACCTTTGCATGTAGATTGTGATCGGGCCACAGGATCCCATTTGCTTGTGGTCTTTCCATGTGCTGCTTAGAGGTTCCAGCAGGTCTAAGGTTTGTTTGAGTTGTTTCTTTGGCTTATCTTCAGTGTAGTCTAGGAGATGTTGATTGGGCTCTGAGGTCAGCTTAAATTCCTTTCTTTTTCATGGTGGGCTCTGTCTTTGTGAATGATGGCCAAGTATTACTTAACTTGATTGTACTCTCAAGTGCCCTTTTTTTGCTGAAATTTCTTGAAAATTCAAATATAAGTTAAGACTTTGCTTTATTTTATTTCTAGTAGTGATATAAAATTTCTTCCATTCTGTTCGTTGCATTGTGGGGACTTGGGAAGGGAAGGATATTTGACATGTGGGCTTGGGTTGCCAATTTGCAAATTTCCAGAAGTCCTACATCTTAAATTTATTAGGAAACATTCAATTCTGTAATTGAAGACAACAAAGGAAAATTCAAATCTATTATTATAGATTTTTTTAGGCATATGAATTTACAGAATTATCACCAAGTAGTATTCTGTTGGATGTTGATTCATGTGTCAGTTTTATACAATTCAAAATGTGTGTCACTTAATATACTGTAGGAATGGTAATGAGCCCATAAAAAGCCTCTTTAAGTCAACAATAGAACTGGAATACTAACACTGGTATTAACCTGAATAGATACAGAGGACCATATGGTAGAAAAGAGAGGAGGAGAGTTTCCCCCCACTTTCTTGAATAGTAAGAAAGAGTCTATTCAGGGGCACCTGGCTAGCTCGGTAGAGCACACAACTCTTGATCTCATGGTTGTGAGTTTGAGCCCCATGTTGGGTGTGGAGCCCTATTTAAAATTAAAAAGAAAAAAATTTAAAATAAGGGTCTATTGAGGGAAAAAATTTTAAGATAGGCTATTTATTCATTCATTAGCAAATTCATTTATCCAATCATCCATTCATTGTTATAAACATTTATTGGACAATTTCCATTTGCCAGCCACTATTCTAGTAACTGAAAATGTGAAAATGAATAAATTGTTTTTTTTTTTTAAGAAGTTCACAATCTGGGGAGGAGTTTATAAATATGGAACAAATAATTAGGGTATTAATAGTAGATATTTTGGCAAATATATATATACAGAATGTGTGGAAGCATATAAAATGGACATCTGATCTTGTCTAGAGAGGGGACTAATTTTTAGAAAAGATCAGTTCTAGCACCAAAGTATGAAAACTGAGCAGGAATAAGTCATGCAAATAGTGGAGATGTAGAAGTATTTTAAGCAGAGGAAGTAGCAGGGGTGAAGGCCCAGAAGTAAGTTAGAGTATGGTGGATTTGGGTAACTACAAGTAGTCAAGATGACTATAGTAAGAGGCCTAAGAGAGCAGTGTTAAAGAAGAGATTGGGGAGAGGCAAGGGCCAGGTCATGATGTGCCATGTATCTAAGGTGTGCCAAAATTTGGAATGACTTTCCACTTTGAGAAAAGACCATATTTTAATTCTTTTAATCACAAAGAAATGGAAATTAGAGGATACCAAGAGGCAACACTCTTTTGCATGCCCTGGTAATTATATTACCAAGTGCTATTCAGGTATTACCTGGTGGTGATTTAAAATATGTCCACACATTCTTTGATACTCCTCCCTTCAGAGGGTGGAATCTAATTCCTCCCTCCCTTGAGTGCTGGCTATACAGAGTAACTCATTTCCAGTGAAGAGAATGAGTAGAAGTTATGTTGTGTAACATCCTGAGAGAGATTAGGATATAAAAGGCATTGTGGCTTCCTTCTTGTTATCTTGGATCACTCATTCTTGAGGATGCCATGGTGTGAGGACACTCAGGCAGCTCTATGTAGAGGTGCATGTGGCAAGGAGCTGAGGCTTCCTACCAAGAGATATGTAAAAAAAAAGCCTCAGTCAAGCCTTCAGATGTCTACTACTCCAACTAACATCTTGACACAACCTCTGGAGAACCACCCAGCTAAGCTACTCTCAGATTCCTGAGTCTCAGAAATGGTGTGAAATAATAAATGTTTATTATTTTAATCCATGAAATTCAGGGGTAATTACTCAGCAATGGATAACTAAAACACACTGTACAGCTGCTGGCCCTGTGCCTGAAAGTGAGATTTCACACATTTTTAAAACAATCTCTAGGCTGCAGACCTGGGCAGTCTATTCCATTGTTGGGCTTTCAGCAGTATAAGAATCTTCCTGTGGCTCACAGCCCAGTGGGCATAATGAGGATGGGGTAAATGAAGGCCTCTAATGACACCAAAAATCCCCAAATGAAGGGATTTTGAGAATCTTCAGAATCTTAAACATAATTATTATTTTTTAAGATTTTATTTATTTATTTGACAGAGAGATAGAGAGCACAAGTAGGCAGAGGGAGAGGTAGAGGCAGACTCTCCGCTGAGCAGGGAGCCAGATGTGGGGCTCGATCCCAGAACCCCAGGACCATGACCTGGGCCAAAAGCAGCCACTTAACTGACTGAGCCACCCAGGTGCCCCTTAAACATAATTATTGAAAAGAAATTTAACAGTATCTGTAGATTATTATACTGCATATAATTCTGTTTCCTTCTATTGATAGGTAAGCCTTTCTCCGGGAAGGGGCCAATAGACCTTGCTTAAGAACAGCTCACTTAGTTAACTGTTAATCTCATCAGCTTCTCAGAAGGAAAAATCATCATAGGATAGTTTGCATCACTTCCCCCTGGATAAGATCATCTAGAGAAAAAGCAGAGAGAGATATGAGGGCTTAAGTGATCTTCATCCATTCCTAATGATTAAAAACCCATCTTAAATCTAATAACTTCCACATTTTTAACTCTAGTTCAGACCACTCCTTTGAGTCCCAGCTTCACATATCCAACTGCCTTTAAGACATCTCCATTTAGAAGTCTCATAGATATAAAAAATCTAAAATGTCTAATATGAAATAAAATTTTGATTCTCCACCTCCACAGTGGACTTTCTAGTGGCACCTTTATCCACTCAGTTGCTCAAATCAGAAACCTAGGAATAAACCTCAATTTTTCATGTTCTTTATTTTCCACAACAGATCTATCAGCAATTGATGTTGGATTTTTTTCTCCAAAATGAATCTTAAAATTACTACTGTCATCTTAGTCCAGGCCACCCTCATGTCCCAATGGATTATTGCATCAACCCCTTAACTGGCCTCCTGTTCTCTCTTCCTAATTCATCATCCAGAGAGATTTTATTAAAATAAAAATTGATCATATTCTCCCACCTAAAACTTTTCAGTGGCATTCTGTTCATTTAAAAAAAAATGGAAATGACCATCTCCCACAAAGCCTTGTGTGATCTGGCCTCATCTTGTCAACCTCCTTTCCTACCACTCCTTCCCTTCACTTATTCTACTTCTATCATACCAATCTCCCAGGCCTTGAGCACCTGTCAAACCTTTGCTTGCCTCAGGGCCTTCTCACAGGTTTTTCCCACTGGCTGGAATTTTGTTCTCCCATACTTCATCAGGTGGGTTTCTCACCAGTTCAAAGAATCTTCTTCTAAGAATCTAACAAACTAGATATACAGTAAAATTTTTTTGAAAATCTAGTATTTTTAGGACAATCATAAACCTGGTTTAGCTGTAGTGGCGCCTGGGTGGCTCAGTCGTTAAGCATCTGCTTTCGGCTCAGGTCATGATCCCAGGGTCCTGGGATCGAGCCCCACATCGGGCTCCCTGCTCAGCGGGAAGCCTGCTTCTCCCTCTCCCACTCCCCCTGCTTGTGTTCCCTCTCTCGCTCTGTCTCTCTCTGTCAAATAAATAAAATCTTCAAAAAATAAAATGACACCTATAAATAAATAAATAAATAAAATCTTAAAAAAAAAAAAACCTGGTTTAGCTGTAGCCGACGGTGACTTTTTTCTTAGCTCCTCCCAAAGAAAGTGGCTGCGGCTCTGAAGCTGCTTACTCTGTACAGATGTATCAGCTGGGGATCTCCTGTCCTGCGCTGGCTTCCTGATACCACATGCGCTTACCAGCTCACCTGTGTGCTCCTCCATGGCACTGGGGGAGGGGATTTCCCCCTCTGGAGCTGAGCGATGAGACTCCAAGAAAAAATTCTTTTGGATTGGGTGCATATGAAAGAAAGCTTTATTCCTCAGTCTTTTTTTTTTATATAGATTTTATTTATTTGAGAGAGAGAATGAGATAGAGAGAGCACAAGAGGGGGGAGGGTTAGAGGGAGGAGCAGACTCCCCGCCGAGCAGGGAGCCCTATGCGGGACTCGATCCCGGGACTCCGGGATCATGACCTGAGCCGAAGGCAGTCGCTTAACCAACTGAGCCACCCAGGCACCCCCTCAGTCTTTTTTTAATGTAAGTGTGTTGTTGATCTACCCTGTGTCTACCTGTTCAGGAAGGAAAAAAATTAGAGACAGCAGATAGAGAATGGCAATAGAGCAGCCTGCACACTTGATTGGCTGACAAGGATGCACGGGCAAGTAGGCATCTCAGGCTGAGCCGCCTTGCCAGTATGCAGAGGCTTGATTGCCAGATGAGGGCACTCAGAGTTTGCAATAAAGTACTGATGGTGGAAGCTCATGGTAGTGATGGTGATGGAGCTGGGAAGGTGGGTTGAAGAGGTAGAGCTGGAGCTAAATTTCCCAGATCACAGCCCTACAGTAAGGAGGGTGCTCAAGGATCTCTGAAGAACTCACAAGTAAGCCCTGTGTGGCTTACCACACAGAAGGCATCAATAGCTACTGAATGTTGGCTAGACGAAGAATGACAGCCAAGGTGGCTAGCCCACTTCCTAAGAGGCTAGACCCGTAGTGCTGAAATTGAGAAACACTAAGGATTAAGGACTTTTCTGTAAAATAATGTCACCATTCCACTATACTGTCATTCACTTACCTAGTTCTTTCTAAAGGAAAGGAACATTTGAATCTAGTATAGGACTTAATTTTGGTCAGGAATGAAACAAATTTTGGAGAAAGGAAAATATTGGCAATTCTGGGCTAACCAAAATTAGATTTGGCTTTAATTACTGCTTTTTATATATCTGTTCTTGTCCCAAAGAAATTCACAAATTTCCCCACAGCTTCAAATCATCCCAGGTAAGAATCTAATTCATTTCTTCAAAATATAACCTATTTTTCTGCTTTGCTCTCAATTTGGTTATGTTTTTACTTTAGAATCAAGGAACATAAAGAGGAAGAAGAAAGAAGGAGAAAACATGAAGAAAAGGATGCTAAGGAAATAAAGCGACAAAATGCATTATACGAAATAGAAATGAGGAAAAAACTAGAAAAGAAAAAAGAAGAGATAAATGAAAGCAGAAGACTGTTTTCTGTAAGTTAAAAATACAGCATTTATTCAAAAAATGTATAAAGTCCAGGGGCACCTGGGTGGCTCAGTCGGTTAAGCGTCTGCCTTCGGCTCAGGTCATGATCCCAGGGTCCTGGGATTGCGTCTCACATCAGGCTCTCTGCTCAGCGGGGAGCCTGCTTCTCCTCCCTCTGCGTGCTGCTCTGCCTACTTGTGATCTCTCTCTCTCTCTGTCAAATAAATAAATAAAATCTTTAAAAATATGTATAAAGTCCAATGCATGACTTTTAATATATTTTTTATAAATAATTGTGGAGTAGAAAACGATTTGTCATTGGTTGGGTTTCTAAGTGTACTTTTGGGGGAGCTCTATTTGCTATGGATTTATGTGGATGTGCTCTCATGCATGAACAAGAAAGAAAAGAATGAGACTTTTTTTTCAAGTAAATACATTTTCACATCCTTTTTTTAAAGATTTTATTTATTTATTTGAGAGAAAGAGAGCACAAGCAGGGTGAGGGGCAGAGGGAGAAGCAGACTCTCCACTGAGCAGGGAGCCTGATGCGGGGTTCAATCCCAAGACTCCAGGATCATGACCTGAACCGAAGGTAGATGCTTAACCAACTGAGCCACCCAGGCGCCCCACATCTTCTTATCCTTTAAATGAGAGTTGTGAGGAATGAATCGGGTGATGTGTGTTCCGTGTCTGCTGCACTGTTAATAAGTGCTCAATAAATGTAATAGTTATTTTGTGCCTGTTGCAACTCACTTTATTTTGTAATTTTTACATTTTTTTAAAGATTTTATTTATTTATTTGACAGAGAGAGACACAGCGAGAGAGGGAACACAAGCAGGGGGAGTGGGAGAGGGAGAAGCAGGCTTCTCGCCAAGCAGGGAGCCGGATGCAGGGCTCGATCCCAGGATCCTGGGATCATGACCTGAGCTGAAGGCAGACACTTAACAACTGAGCCACCCAGGCACCCCTAATTTTTACATTCTTTTCTTTAAAATTAGTTTTTATTCTTAAGTAATACATGCATAGAATTTAAACATCAAACACCACCAAAAGGCTTAAAAGAAGAGTAGCAGTTCTTTGCTTTCCCCTTCTGCTTCAGGGAGACAGCCACTTCCAGGTTCTCTTAGTTGTTTGTTCTGATATGAAATTATATTCTAAATTATGTGCATATTTAAAAAATATATCAAGTTCTAAAGATTTGTGTCTTGATTTATCAATTTTAGACATTGTCTCTCTGGCCTGGTAGTTGAGGATTTAGCTCTTTTCTAATGCTGTCCCCTTCCCATTCTCCCCTTCCCCTGAAATAATTATGTCACAATTTTAGCTAAATCATTATTATTATATAAATATTGTTCTCTGAAGAGCCAAGTAATATACCATGATTATATTTCTTTGCTTGCATAAATGTTTTTCTGTGATTAAAATAATTGTGTATTTGCTTTGATGACTATATACCTTAGTTTTTTCCCATATGTTCTCTAAGTTGTCAAATGTATATTGATACTAGTTTTCAAATATTCATCTAAGTAATATTAAATTATCTATGTTCTTGATTTTCTTAGAGCTCCCCTATGCAAGTCGTCCATCCTTCTCTGGGCCTCCTGCCCAGCTGTCATTCTGGGACTTCCCTGGGTCACTTTCCTGGGCTGCAGTTCCCATTTCCTGAATTCCATGCCTTCCTTTTTCTTAGCTTACTTCTTCATCTTACTGAAATACATCTTCAAGTAACTTCCTAAGAAAGGGTATACAGATCAATTTTTAAAATTCTTACTTGAAAAGGTTGTCATTTAAAGTCATATTTGCTTTATGGTTTGACTGGATATAGAATTTTGGTTCAGAATTCAGAATTTTGTATTCATTGTTTCATGATCATCTGACTTCCAGTATTGCTGTTGAGAAGTATGATGCCATTTAGGTTTTTCAGCCTATTTATGTGATCTGTTGTATTTTATTTTTCTCTCTCTTTCTGAAAGATTTCCGGGTCATTTTTATTTTACAGGGACATACTTTGGTATAGTTCTTTTTTATTATTTTGCTGAGCATTCAGTTGATGCTTTCAATCTGGAAACATATATTCCTTTCATCCTGGAAATTCTTCTTATTTTATTTCTTGTATAATCTTCCATTTTGTCTCTTCTGTTCTAGAACCCCTGTGATACACATTGGACTTTCTGAATTGATGCTGTAATTAAAAAAAAACTTTTCTCATTTTTTTAGTTAGGGGAAGGCTCAAAGGTAATAGTACTTTAAATAAATTAAAACTTTGAAGTGCAGAGTAGTCATTCCAAGGCTGATATGGCAACTCCAGAATCAACAGGGACTGAAATGGCTTCTCTTTTTTTGCTTTGCTATTCTTGGAACATAGATGGCTTCTGTCCTCAAAGTTGCCCTATGGCCCTGAATGGCTGCTGGAGCTCTTGCCCTCATATCCACATTCTAGGCAGCAAGAAGGACAAAAAAGAATGCCCAACTATCTATTCTCCTTTTAAGGAACATTTCCAGAAGTTTCACTTAACGATTTCCACTAAATCTCATTGGTCATAATTAGACATACTTAGCTGAAAAGAAAGCTTGGAAATACAGTCTTTTTAGATGAGCATGTTGCCACTCTGAACAAAATCTGGGTCCTGCTGCTAATGCAAAAAAGAAGAAAGAATCTTGGGTAGGCTATTAATTGTTCCTGCCATTTTTGGTTTTTGTTTGACTCTGAGAGTTATTCTCAACTTTGTCTTTTAAACTTTCTATTGAATTTTAAATTTAGCTACCAAGGGGTACCTGGGTGGCTCAGTCGGTTAAGCATCCAGCTCTTGATTTCGGCTTAGGTCATAATCTCAGGGTCATGGAATTGAGCCCCGAGTTGGGCTCCATGCTCAGCACAGAGTTTGCTTGAGATTCTCTCTCTCCCTCTGCCTCTGTTCCTCCCTGTTTCCTTGCTCTATCTCTCTCAAATAAATAAATAAATCTTAAAAAAAATAAAATAAGCTACCAAATTAAGCTACCAATTAGCTACCAAAGTTTTAATTTCCAAGAGTTTTACCTGTAATGCTATTGTTCCTTTTGCATAAAATCTTATTCTTGTTTCATGGATGCAATATGTTTATCTCTCCAAGACACTTTGGAATGGGACAGACGTTTGAATGCTAACTCTGCCACGAACTAGCAATGTGACCTTGAGCTGAGGCTTTCAACTTTTAAAAATGAGAATTAACTTTGTGTTAATTAACTCTATTCTTTCCTATGAAAAAAAATCTGAACATTACAATAAACTTAGAAAAAAACCAGCAAAATAAAACTTTTAAGAAATCATTCAAAACAATCACCTTTAACAGTTTGATATTGTTATTAGCGTTTCATGTTGACTAATGCTTCTCCTAACCAGATTATGGGCTTTTAAAAGTAATAGCCATAAGATAGGAGAGTACTTAAGAATGCTAGGTGCATAGTAGACCCTGAGTTATAAATATATTGGAAGATAAAGTGTTGCATCTTCACTAGAATTGGTTTCTACGTACAGTAACTAAATACACTAATATCTATATATCCAGACTATTGTGTTCAAAGGCACCTATTTTTATGATGGCTGACTCAGGCTGGAATCATGGAATATATGCTGATATGAACAGATTTTTATTTTGAAAAATAATGACCTATATCAAAATGTTTTGTTAGACTATATATCTGTATCTTTTCTTGTGTATATGGGAAAAGAAAGTCTGGACAAGAAACTATTTTCACAGTGATCAAGTCTGGTGGAGGAATTGGGAATATAGGGAGACAGACAGTGGATGGGGAAGGAAGGACACTTTATACCATGTATTATTTAAATACTTTTAATTTGTGTACCATAGAAGTATATTAACTATTTAAACATTAAATGAAAATTGATGAAAATATTTAATGTATTTTTTCTGATTATAGAATTTTTTTTAAAAGATTTTTTTTTTTATTTATTTGACAGAGACACAGCGAGAGAGGGAACACAAGCAGGGGGAGTGGGAGAGGGAGAAGCAGGCTTCCCGTGGAGCAGGGAGCCCAATGCGGGGGCTCGATCCCAGGACCCCGGGATCACGACCTGAGCCGAAGGCAGACGCTTAGCGACTGAGCCACCCAGGCACCCCTGATTATAGAATTTTTTAAAGATTTATTTTTTTAAAGATTTTATTTATGAAAGAGAGAGAGAGAGAGCGCAAGTGAGGGGAGGGGCAGAGGGAGAAGGAGACTGCCTTCTGAGCAGGGAGCCTGACCTGGGCTTGATCCCAGGACCCTGAGATCTTGACCTGAGCCAAAGGCAGACAGTTAACTGAGCCACCCAGGTACCCCTTATTTATTTATTTGAGAGAGAGAGAAAGAAAGTACAGGGAGGGGCAGAAGCAGGTGGGCAGAGGGAGAGGAAGAGCATCTCAGGCAGACTCCTTGCTGAGTATGGAGCCCAATGTGAGGCTCGATCTCACAACCCTGAGATCATGACCCCCGCCAAAACCGAGAGTTGGCTGCCTAACTGACTGAGCCACCAAGGCTCCCCTAGAATTATTTTTAATTACATATTTTAAAGAAATGAGATATTTGAAAGGAAATACAGAAAAGCATTAAGATGAAAAGTCACATATATAATCTCATACCCCAGAGATAACTATTAACATTTGATATATTTCTTCCAATAGTATATAGATTATAAACTTGTACCCATATATGTTTGCAAAACTGAAATTTGCTGTGTAGTATTTTATATTCTCCTTTCCCCCCACTTACCCATTATATTATTTGTATCTTCCCATATCATTGAGAGTATAATTTAACCATTTCTTCATTATTAAAGATTTAGAGGTTTCCAATTTTTCACTCTTATAAATAACTTTGGGATAAAGTACATGGTACATAAAGCTTAATGCGTATCTCTGATTGTTTCTTTAGGATAAATTCCCAAGAGAGAAATAACTTGGACCATTTGATAAGTTCTTATTAGATATTCATATGTTGAAAGATATTTTTCTTTGTGATAATACACAGTTTTTTCCCCCAAGGAACATATGAATGACAAAAATATCATCAAAGCTGTAGAACAGCAGCAGCAAGAGGAGGAAGATGAAAAGATTAGAAAATTTATCAAAGCAAAAAAGCGTCTTACACAAATAGGGAAAGAAAAAGAAGCTGAAACACACAGGTAAGCTTTTAAAAGTAATTCATATAATTAATAAAGTACTATCTGAAATTCTTATAAATCAGAAGTTGTGATATGAGAGGAGTTTTTAAGAATAAGTCATTATAGGGCACCTGGCTGGCTCAGTCGGTTAAGTGTCTGCCTTTGGCTCAGGTCGTGATCCTGGGGTCCTGGAGAGCCTGCTTCTCCCTCTGCCTCTCACTCTCTCTCTCTCTCTCACACACATAAATAAATAAATTAAATGTTTTGGGATGCCTGGGTGGCTCAGTCGGTTAAGTGTCTGCCTTCGGCTCAGGTCATGATCCCAGGGTCCTGGGATCGAGCCCCGCATCGGGCTCCCTGCTCTGCGGGGAGCCTGCTTCTCCCTCTGTTTGTGCACTCTCTCTCACAAATAAAGAAATAAAATCTTTAAAAAAAAAATCTTTAAAAAAAAGAGTAAGTCATTATTTATAACTAGGGCATTTAGTGACATGATGATTTCAGAGTTAGGTTTCCCTTGGAATATCAAGGACATCTATCTGGTGGTCGGTTGGAAATAGTGAAATCTCTGCTGTAGGGGAGGGATATGAGCTAGAAATAGCTTTGTGAGCCATTGATATATAAGTGGTAGTTGGAACTGTGGATACAGCTGAGCTCACCTGTGGTGAGTAGGTAAGAAATGAAGGTGAGCAGCCATTGATGTTAGATCAATAGAGGGATTATATGAGATTTTTAAAGATTTATGTATTTATTTTAGAGAGAGTGGGGGGGCACAGGGAGGGAGAGTCTTAAGAAGACTGCACTGAGTGTGGAGCCCAACAGGGAGCTTGATCTCATGACCCTGAGATCACAATGTGAGCAGAAACCAAGAGGTGGACACTTAACTGATTGTGCCACTCAGGTGCCCCTTAATGAGATTTGAAAAATGAAATGTCAGATATGGAGGTCATTGCTTACCTTAGTGATAAGTTTGGGATGAGGTCAGAGAGAGGAGGCCAGTTTCAGTACACTGTGTTTCTGTCTACATTCCACTTTTGCCTTGTGCAGAGCGTTCCAATGGCTTTATATCATCTGTAGAGTATTTACTAAGGCCCATAAGACTCTCCATCATCCTAATTCCCAGCTGACCCCAGCCTCATCTCTTGGACTTTATCTTGTACTATTCTCTCCTTCTTTGCCTCCTCATCACTCACACTGGACTTCTCCTGTACCCTCTCTGGGGAATGCTGAGCTCCCTAAACTCTTTCAAAAGGATCATTACTCAGATGTTGCCTTCTCAGTGAGGCCTTCCCTGACTCCCTTAATTAAAATTGCAGCCCCGCCCCCCACATTGCTTATCTGTTTAATTGCTTGCTTTTTCCTCATTGCGTGATATAGCACCATTTTAATTATTTACTTTGTTCACTATCCCTCTACCCCAGCTGTAATGAAAGTTCTAGAAGAACAGAGATTTTTAATCTTTTTGTTTACTATTATATCCCCAGCACCTGGAATAATGTCTGGAACATAGTAGGCAATCAATAAAAGTGTTTAGAATATTGTTCTTGAAAGTCTAGATGCAATGTCACCTTTCCCATGAAGCCTTCCTTTTTACTCATCTGCCTATATCACTTTCTAGCTTTCTCACTGGCATGTATCACCCTTTGCCATGTATTGTTATTTGCTTAAATGTCTTTTCTCCACTTTAGACTGTAATTTCCTTGGGATATGCACTGTGTCCTTTCTTAACCAACTGAGCCACCCAGGCGCCCTGCACTGTGTCCTTTCTTATCATTTCTCCCACATTGCTTTGCAAATTCATTCCATAAATTAGTGAATCTGTCACATCTAAATTTGAAAGTATTTTTTGCCCAATCCTAAATGAAAATGCCCCTATTCCTTTAACAAATACCTAGTTATGGTTAATGATGTGCCAGTCACCATGCTTGGCTCTGAACTAGAGAGAGGACTTACCCATTCTCTGAGCTCAGGAATCTCATAGTGTAAAAGGACATTGTCTACCTTCATATAAATAGATGAAGTCAATAAAGTGCTATGAATAAATTATAAACAGACTATATAGTAAGAGGATGGATTTATTCAGGATTTGGTAACTTTTACTAGATATTTTTGAGGTTTCATTTAAAGAAAGGCTGTTGATTTATTTTATAACCTAAGCCTCCAATGTTAGAGTAAGCAGGGTATCCGATTAAGTATTTTGAAAATTTTTTCATTGTGAGAATTTTAATACTTTATTTCCTACATGCATACACACGCATGTACACAAGATATTATATGTATTACTTTAAAATATGCTGTATTCTAAAAATAAAAGTATTAAAAATAGTTTCCACTTAAAATAATCAGTACATATAAGGAGCATTGGGGCTCCTTTCAGTTTTGTAAAAAAACTATAAATTATCTGATTTTTTTTTAAGATTTTATTTATTTGACAGAGAGATAGAGAGAGAACACAAGTAGACAGAGTGGCAGCAGAGGGAGAGGGAGAGGGAGAAGCAGGCTATCAGCTGAGCAAGGAGCCCGATGTGGGGCTTGATCCTGGGACCTCTGGGATCATGACCTGAGCTGAAGGTAGCTGATTAACTGACTGAGCCATCCAGGTGCCCCTAAAATATCTGATTTCTAATGAAATTATATTGGCTCCATAACAAATCTATTCATGAAGATTTAACAAGTGATGGTTATTTTGTTATAGGCTAATGGAAGAAAGGAGAGAAAGAATAAATAACGTGCTGAGTGAACTGATAAAAGAGAAACTTGACAATGAAGATTTGATTATTGCTAGAGATACTGCAGAAGCTGAGGCTGAATGGGAAAAAAGAGAAAAAGAAAAATATGAAAAAAACAAAGCAGAATTAAAAGCGATTGCAGAATATAGAGCTGTTGTGGTAAGCAATTCAATTACGACAAATAAAAATTTAAAAAAAATTTTAAGTCCTTTCCACTGTAGTTTCCATTCCCTCTCCCTCTCTGACAAAACCTAGCAAAGATTTGAAAAACAATGTATGAGTTATCTTCCTATATTCTTGAAATCAGACCATGTTTAATTTCTAACAGAAGATCCCATGATAATCAGTTACAAATAAGATATTGATAGACACAAAATAATCTCTTCTGTTTCAGAACCATCTGAAGTGCAAAAATTGTTATTCACTTAATATACATTTGAGTGTTTTTAAGACTAACCAAATAAAAATTACCCATTTCTGTATTTCTTAATCCTTCAGATAATCCTTATCTCCTACATAATTGACTGTCGTAACATTTAATTTGGATAGTTTATAAACATTATAGCAGTAAATTTTTTACCTACAAATATTCCCCTACCTTGAGAAGATCTTGCTATTCTGTTCTTGTATTTTATTTTTTAAACCAGTATCACTCAAGTTTTCATTGTGTGTTTCCTGTTATTGGGGAAATAGAATAAAACCAAAGTAAACTGATCATGTGGGAATCAGCCCAGGTACCTGTAACTTCTGCCCTGTATTGCTCCAGGCTTTCTGCTTGGAGCTTTCTAACTGTGCTTTATTAGAGAGCACTGGTTGGTTAAAAAAAAAAAAAATTGTTTCCCTTTGCTTTTTAACATCTAGATGAAAAATAAAGAGGAAGAAGAAAGACAGAGGAAACTACAGGATAAAGAACAATTGCTGGCTATCCTGAAAGCAGATCGGATTTTCCAGGAGCATGAAAAGGAGAAAAAACGCAAAGCTGATAAAGAACGACAAGAAGTTCGAGATGCCCATATTCAGCAAATGGTAATTATTCTTAAATGTTTATACTTATTTTAACAGTAAATATGTAATGTAGAGTTGATGCTAGTTTTCTGTTTCCCGAGTGGTTTCATCTGTCAAATAAGATCAAATGATCATTATGGATATGACACAATAAAATACATAAAAAATGTGAAGTTAATTTCTCTTTTTATAGGTATTGAAGTTCCCATACTAGGTTTATGTCTTTTGCACAAATATTTATCCTTCTTCAGTGTCTATTGTGCTTTAGTAAATATTAAAGAAAATGCAATTGCATACAGCAGGCCATGATGCTTATCTTCTTCATTTTACTTTTTTCCCCCTCTTTATAACTATAGGCCAGAGATTATGTTGATTGGGATCTCATAGGTTTCAGAGTTGGGGTGATAGGGGTACCAGAGATTTTAGAACACATATAGAGGACCTGGCATCCAATCATTTATGACTTAAATCTGTTTTCCAAAATGGCTATACCATTTTCCATTCCTACCAGCAACATATGCAAGGACAAACTGTTCCACATCCTCATCAACACTTGCTTTTGTTATCCTTTAATTTGAACTATTTCTAGCATAGTGATATCTCATGGTGTTGTTTTGCATTTCTCTAATGACTAAAGATTTTGAAGATCTTTTCATGTCCTTTATAGACATTTGTGTGCCTTCTTTTATGAAGTATGTATTCAGATCTTTTGCCATTTATTCATTTGAGTTGGTTGGGTTTTTTAAAATTCTATTTATTTGAGAGAGAGAGAGCACAAGCAGAGGGAACAGCAGAGGGAGAGAAAGAAGCAGACTCCCCGCTGAGCAGGGAGTTTGATGTGGGGCTCCATCCCAGAACCCTGGGATCATGTCCTGAGCTGAAGGCGAGTGAACCACCCAAGTACCCTGGGTTGTTTGTTTTATTATTGTGTTTTAACATTTTTTTTAATGTGGTAGAATATACATAACATAAAATTTGCCATTTTAACCGTTTTTCAGTGTACCAGTTCAGGGCCATTAAGTGCATTTACTCTCACCACTATCCATCTCCATAACTTTTTCATCATCCTACACTGCAATTCTGTACCTTTTCATTCCCCCATTCCCCCAGTCCCTGGTGACCACTATTCTACTTTCTGTTTCTATGAATTTGAATATTCCAGGTACCTCATGTTAGTGGAATCATATTTGTCTTTTTGTATCTGTATTATTTTACTTATGTCTTCAAGACTCATCCATGTTGCAGCATGTGTCAGAATTTCCTCTTTTTATTAAGGCTGAATAATATTCCATTGTATGTATATACCCCATTTTGTTTATACATCCATCCATCCATGGACATTTGAGTTGTTTCCATCTTTTGGCTATTGTGAATAATACTTCTGTGGATATTGGTATGCAAGTGTCCGTTGAGTCCTGCTTGTTTTTATACACAGAAATAGAATTGCCAGATTATATGGTAATTCTAGGTTTAACTTTTTTAAGAACCACTGTACTATTTTTTTTAAAGATTTTATTTATTTTGAGAGAGAAAGAGAGTACAAGTGGGGGGAGGGGCAGAGGGAGAGAGAGGATCCCAAGCAGATTCCACACTGGACATGGAGCCCTATCTAGGGCTCAATCCCACAACCCTGAGATCATGACCTGAGCTGAAATCAAGTCAGACACTTAACCGACTGAGCCGCCCAGGTGCCCCTTGAATGACCATACTGTTTTCTATAAAGCTATACCACTTAACATTCCCACCAGCAATATTCAAGGGTTTCAATTTCTCTGAATACTCATTATTTGTTCTGTTCTGGGTTTGTTGTTGATGGTTTTGTTGTTGTTTATAATAGCCATCGTTAATAGGTTTGAAGTGGGTTTCACTTGTGGTTTTCATTTGCATTTCCCTAGTGATGAGTGATATTGAGCATCTTTTCATGTTTCTTGGCCATTTCTGTTCAGCCTGAAGACTTCCATTAGCATGTTTTGTAGTGCAGGTGGGTTAGCAATAAATTATTTATGTGTTTGTGGAAATGTCTTTGTCTTCATTTCATTGAGTATAGAATTACTGGATATCATTCTTTCCCAGCCCTTTGAATATATTGTTCCATCATCTTTGGCCTTCATTGTTTATCATTAGCAATCTGCTGTTAATCATATTGTTGGTCCCCTGAATGTGATGCATCATTTTTCTCTTGCTGGTTTCAACAATTTCTCTTTATTTTTGGTTTTCAGCAGATTGACAGTTTGACAGTCAACCAGTAATGTGGGTGGAGTTTATGTTCAGTTCAGTGATGTTAAGACAATGATGCTTTTATCCCTGCCGCACAAGCTATGTGTGGGTTGAGGATGTTATTCCTAAGAACAGCAAATTCACAATTTCCCCCAGGCTTTTAATTTTTGCTAAGCTCCCTGGGGTCTCTTGTGTGAATGTGTAGTTTATCAATGAGACAAGGATGTCCACAGAGTTTATTATTTCAGCCCTTCTATGCCTATCTCACTTCCAGAATCTCCCCCTTAAATTTCTAGCTGCTTTGCTACTCAATCCAAATGGAATCTGTCATCATTGTCCAGCAAATCTGCAAGTTTTCACCACCCGAGCTGGAGGAGCTGGAGGGATAGCAATATCCCCCAGAAAAGCTTACAGTTCTTACCTGATTTAGTAGCAGTTTTTCATGAAAACACATTTCTCAAGTGGTTGCTTATACATGATCATTTAATAGTGCTTTGAAATGAGAATTTAAACTTGTTTTTATAGAGGGGAAATGGCCAACCTCCTCATGTAGCCATTGCCAGAAGTAGGATCTGCCATATTATTTTGAAGCAAATCCCAGGTATCATTTTATCAATGCAGTCTATATCTCTCAAAACTCAGGGACTCTTTACAAATTTACATAATCACAATTCCATTATTACATCTAAACCAATTAATGTTCAGTCTTTAAATTTCCTTTAAATTATCTCGTATTTTTTTTAGTTTGTTGGTTTTTAAAAAAATTTTTTAAGTAGACTCCGTGCCCAATGTGGGACTTGAACTCAAGACCCTGAGATCAGAAGTCACATGCTTTATGGACTAAGCCAGCCAGGCACCCCTTAGTTTGTTTTAATCAGGATCAAATAAGGTCCATATATTCTATTTGGTTGTATGTCTTTCAAGTCTCTTATCTAACACTCCTCCTCCACCCCTCTCTTCTTAAGTTCTCCCTTCTTGTCTTTTATTGTTTTCCAATTTATTTGTTGAGGGGTTTTACTGGTTTACAGGGTTTGTCTTTTAGAATTACTACAGTCAGATTTTTATGGTTGAACCCCTCTTGTGTAGTTTATTGTTTCCTGCGTTTCAGGTAAAATCTAGTTGAGGTCAGATTCAGGTTCAAGTCTTTGGTGAAAATTAGTCTTACATGGTGTTGTATACTTCCATCAGAAGGCACATGGTGACCGTTGTCACTTTCTGTGACATGAACAGCCTTTGATGACTATTGCCTAGATCTCTCAGTTCATGAGGTGGCAAGATATTGATAGTCTTTCATTTCTTCTTACTCATTTGCTCAAGTCTTCAAAGAACTTTTCATGATCAACAATTTCGTTTCCCTGAGGTACAGTTTTTAAAGAAAAGACAATAAATACTTGATCCCCTCCCTTTATCTTCCAGTATTCAAAATAATTAGCATCTCCTAAAGATGCTTGTTATTTCCCCCCATCTGTTACAATTTTTAGGAATTTAAAACAATATTTTAAAAGTTTCTTTATAAATCTACTTATGCTTAATGCAATCAAAATTGAGGCATCAATCATATGATCCATTATACTAATCCTTTCCTTCCCTTGTCACTTCCTTTCTGTACTTGAGATGTTTCTCCTTGCTTCCTTAAAATCTTTTCACAAATTGCTATCAAAGAAACATATCCTAGTTGCTCTTTAAGTTCCCAAATTATAGCATTTTACCTTTTATGAGAGTGGTTTTAGCTTTTTCTGATTTTCTCAATCTTTTTGAAGGGCATTTTCTACTTTTTCAAACTCCTGATATTGTATCACCGATTCAACAAATAGCACATAATCCTTTTAGCACATAAACTTTAATTTTGAATTTAGTATGGTATTTAGTATGGTATGGTTGCTCTATTTATTTATAAATTTCAGTGTACAGTAGTTATCAGGTTTGGGCTCTTTTATACTTAAGTGCTGGTTACTGATTTAGGAAAATATTTTCATAAATATTATATTCCTAAGTAGACAAAATCACTCAATTTTTTACAAACTCAAACTCAGCATTTCTTAAAATGCTAAGACAAAAAGTTGTCAATCAGACTTCATTAAAATCACCTCATAAAATCAGTTAAAAGAACAATATTTTTGCAAATATAAAGAGTTAAAAGAAAAAAATTATGATATATATTGGCTTTTGGTAAATCGCTTAGAGTACTCCAACCAGTTCCAGATCAACCAACCTACACTGATAAATGTCACTTGTTACAAATTCAAGTTCTTGGGAAAAGAAAATGTAATTGGTTTAATTTCATTCAGATATTCACTGCTGATTTAATCTTATTTGGCTGGGTCACATGGTATATTGGGCTGACTTAGAACAGTGGATTTCAGTGAGTTCTTTCAGAATAGTAGATGGGGGAAGGGCACCTGGCTGGCCCAGTTGAAGAATATGCAACTCTTGATCTCAGGGTGGTGAGTTTGAGCCCCACATTGTGTAGAGATTTTTAAAAAAAGGGGGGGTGCCTGGGTGGCTCAGTCGTGATCCCAGGGTCCTGCTCTGCGGGAAGCCTGCTTCTCCCTCTCCCACTCCCCCCGCTTGTGTTCCCTCTCTCTCTGTGTCTCTGTCAAATAAATAAAATCTTCAAAAAAAAAAGTGGAGGGGTTGGAGGCAGTGATCGGTAAGTTTTCTATACCTGCCAAAGTACACATTTTTATAAATGGTAGAAACAGGATTCTAAACTCATTTAATTTTTACCTAAAGTTCATGCTTTTAACTACTTTGTTATATTGTTTGTTTGAAGATATGTTATTGCATAAGACTATCGTTTCACTGAGCCACTGCTTTGAGCATACTATTGTGAGAAGCATGGGAGTTTCTGAAATTATACTATATACAGGTGCCCCTTGAACAATACAGGTTTGAACTTTGGGGGTCCATTTACACATGGATTTTTTTCAATATATACATTGGAAATTTTTTGGAGATTTGCTACCATTTGAAAAAACCTGGAGATGAACCACATAGCCTAGAAATACACCCACCCCAAATTAAGAAAACGACATTATTTTAAGAACGCAGCATATAATACATATATGCATCCAAAATGTGTCAACTTTATGTATAGTAAGGCTTCTGGTCAACAGGAAGCTATTAGAAGTTTTGCAGAATCAAAAGTTATCCATGAATTCTTTACTGTGCCAGGGGATGGCATCCCTAACCCCTGTGTTGTTCAAGGATCAATTGTAGTTGTTAATTCAGAGCTTGTCACCTATCAGCGAGTTTAGAAAATTCTATCTACAACTTCAAATGCTACGTATATTTAGAAAATTGATCTTACCAATATGAAATTGCATTTTCTTTCTTTCCCAAATAGGCCAAAAATAAATTTAACAGAAAGCAAGAAAAGCAAGCAGAATTAGAGTATTGCAGACTTACTGAAGCTCTTGTGGCTGAAAAGGAGAAGGAATTTCAAGATTATGCCAGAGAAGTAATTGAACTTGAGTCTGAATCAACAAATAAATATATTTATCCTCTTGTAAAAGCTGTACAGGAAGGACATGGAGGTGGCTGTGGACCAGTTTTTGTGAACAGAGGTGGATTAAGACCCAGTTATCAGGCAAATGATGGCACCGGAGTCCAGCTCCCTTTCTATAACTCTCAGGGATCAAAATATAGTAATTTTCAAAAGTCTAAGGGAAAGCTAGGTTTTACATGGTAGAAAAAAGTTTAAGATTGAGAAGACTTAAGTTGTAGCTAATATGAGCTACAAATAAGTGAATTTTATGCTTATAATTTGTTAATAAAGCTGCTTTTCATCTAAGTGCAATTACATCTGTTCTAATAGATTCTTCACTACCAAAGTTTAATCCCTTTGATAATACATACACAACAAAGTGTAATTTTAGTCTTTAAAAATACGTACTTAATGCTACAAGTATAGCTATAATATTGTACAACCATTACCATATCTGGTTCCAGAATGTTTCATTGCTCCAAAGGGAAACCCTGTACCTAAGCAGTCACCTCCCACTTCCCCTCCCTTTCCACAGCCTCTGGCAACTTTGTCTCTATGGATTTGCCTATTTTGGGTATTTCATATAATTATATGGAATCATACTGTGGCCTTTTGTGTCTGGCCTATTTCACTTAGCTATTTTCAGGTTTCATCCATCTTATACCATTATCAGTACTTGTTCCTTTTTACAGTTGAATAATATTGCATTGTATTTTTCTCTTCAGCAGAAATTTATTTCAATACTTTTTAGTTTCAAACACTACCAATATTATTGCTAACAAAAGGATTAGTTTATGACTTGTGGTTTATTTTGTAGAGTGCATCTTGCTAGACTTGTGTAAATTACTGTTTTCGAGTTAGTTGAAGTAATTTTTCTACAAGTAGTTATATAAGCAATTTGATACACAGGTATACACAGGTGACTCAAAGGTTTGAGTTGTACAATGACTAAGTTTCACATATTATCCCATTGGTGAATGTGTTTAAGAGCAAAATACAGGTATTTTCCTTTTTCACAGGGCTACTAAATTGTTCAGTAGTTCTTTTGGCCTAGGGTTGCCACCATTTTAAAAATTACCTAGATGCAAAGGCTCAATGAACTAATAAAGTCAGGGAACCTCTGCCACGTATCTTCTTCTTTAAATTGTTTAATAAAGTACTGTATATTTGGGGGTGATTACTAGTTTTGGATGAAGCTATCTTCACATTACAACACAGGAAACATGTTTCTACAAAATGGTTAATTTCATAAATGTTTTATAACGAACTTATCCCAGTGAAGAACATAAAACATTAGACATTACTAGTTTTCTTCCCTTATGTAAACAGTTTCATCGTATTACTTTCAACTGGGCTGGTCTACTAGAGTTAAGCACATTTTAAAAACAAAAGGACTATGCAGTCTTAAAAATTAATCACAAAACAATTGAGTGACAAAAACTGAGTTGCAAGGCACTCGGAACAGTGGAAACACAACTGTTGTAATCTGCCAATAGGATAAGAAATCCATAGCTAAAATGTGGCTAAGGGTGCCTGGGTGGCTCAGTCGGTTAAGCACCTGCCTTTGACTCAGGCTGTGATCCCAGGGTCCTGGGACTGAGGCCCGCGTTGGGCTCCCTGCTCAGCGGGGAGTCTGTTTATCCCTCTCCTCTGCCCTCCCCCCAACCCACTTGTGCTTTCTCTCTCAAATAAATAAAATCTTTTTAATAAATAAAATTAGTCCTTTAAAAAATAAATGTGTGGCTAAGATATGTATTTGGGTATTGAGGGGGGAAAGGTGTAAAAATTATCAATCAGCACTTAAAAATAAAAAGGAAATACCAGTATTAGGTTGGGAAATATGTTTAAGAAGGAAGCCTAAAAAGCAATGAAAATAGAAAAAACAAATTGATACTAAAAGTATTTTAATACACAATTAATTTACACAGTCCATATGAAGCACTCACATTTTACATATTCTTCTGGCTAAATAAAGCATTTAAAAACACTCCAGAATTCAAGAATTTAATACCTCTTAACACATATAAACCACTGAATGGTCAGAACATTTTTATCTAACCATATATATTTTCAGTGACTAACTTTCAAGTTGGTGCATTTTCCCTAAATATATCTAATTTAAATAAAAATGAAACCAAACAAGGAACCAAAAACTAAACGATTTGTTTTACGAGTCAATTAACATCTATATGGCTTTACAATGTCAAGTGTTATATTAAAACTGGCAGGCACAGGATATAATACAATGTTCCCAATGCTGAGAAATTTGGAGGAATTAAAAAGCAAATGGTAGCATTCCAGTAGACAGTAATGCAAATTCCAAATCTAACCTTAAGTTTGCTGAGGCAAAAGACACACTGTAATCTGAAACATTATGATTAAACATTTACACTAGAATTTATCTCCAAACCTTCTGGAAATCATCACTGCGACTAAATTCCTAAAGAAGCTCAGTACTGTTAAACTCTTTGCTCAGTTTTTCCTAATACAAATTCTATATCCCCATGGGTAAAATAAAAGTATATTTTAGTTGATTTATCTTCATTATTTAGCTTTTAATAAAAATAAAGGTTGAATAACTAATACAACAGTAATTTTAAAAATACAAAACAAACTGTTATAGTTTATTTAATACAATGTTTAACTATAAAAGTTGATAGTTTCAGAATTTAAATTCTGTAAAATGCAGTTTGCAGAAAACAGTTTTAACAGTTACTAGACTAATAAGAGAAGCAGCATTTTGAAACTAATACAATTGTGACAACAGCTTTATTCCTAAATTTCATTAAAAAAATATACATCACAGTGACTTTTGAGCTAGGAAAAGAAGTGCATTAACTTCACTTGAATTTTTCCCTTCCACAAAGAGAGCAGCCACGACTTTTAACATCCCCACATACAAATAACCAATTCATTTATCAATCCTTCAAAGTACTAGAAACACACAAAACAGAAACAAAATATACAGCAAGGGCTTTTGGTAACACAGGCATTTGCTTAAAAAAAAAAAAAAAAGAAAAAAGAAAAACCAGAAACACAACTTAACCCCACAATTTCTTCCTATACTTAAAAACAAACAAAACCCCTCAACAACTCCCTTCTCCAACCTTGCTGATGGATTTTTATTTATGTGATTTTTCTTTTAATATTTACTTCTTGTGTTACACCACAGGCCAGCGTTTGCATTTGTCTGAATCCTTTAAAGGCAGCTGGGAAACCCGCTATAGGCAGGTGTCAACCAATGCTGCCCTTCCTGGAGTTTATCAATTTTTAAAACGAGTATTGTAACAAAACATCTCTTTTCACAATAAACAGGTTATAAATCTACAATCCTTGGAGTTTATTCAACTGTAAATGTATGAATACTAAACTGAATAATTATAGTAAACATGACCGAAAGAAGACAGGAAAATACCCATTTTATGTTTCTTTATATCAATCAACTATATATATATGGTGTATATTTAAAGTACCTTCCAGTGAAGGGAAAGGGAACAAGTTTCTACAGAAATTCACTATAAAAGGTTCAAAGTGTGATGAAAAACAACTGCCACCTGGATGAAAAAGCATAGTGAGCTACTAAAAAAACCCCTAACTTTTCCATATACTAACTTGAAAACAAATTAGAATTGTCCTTTAATATCATTACTCAAAATACCAGAAACCCAATGTGTTCCTGTCCATAATATTAAGAAATGTTTACTTTTCAGTTTCATACCTTTCACTGGGTATAAGAATCAAAGGCCATTCAGCAAAGCCAATACGAATCAGTATCACACTTGTGCAAAGATAGATTTATCAAATTCTTTGAAACTTCTGTGAGGGCTTTAAGGAACTCTATTAGAAATTACAATGCTCTATGAACTCATTAACTGTAATTTAAAAATATTTTGAAGCAACCCAGTAGATTCTCTACTGCTCATCAACATTAATCTGTTGTGTCAATTTGTGGCAGATGGTTTACCCCCAAAAAAGAATGAAATAATCATGAAAAAAAATTCTCATATTGCCAAACAATAAAATAAACCAATTAAATATCTTTAGAGGATATGAAGTCAAAGATAGTTTGAGGTAAACTGTAAGCTCAGACTTAACTATAAAATCAATTTGACAGGAAAGAGCCAGCTTTCAGGAAGGAGTATAATCAAAGTAAAAGCTAAAGGTGGCACAACTATTAAAAATGCAATAAAAGGACTGTTTGAGCTATGTGCTATTCAGATATAAAGGCAGACGAGGTACAGTTAATGCTGTTTAATTATTTTCTAAATGTTTTTATTCTGAAAATAAAATCTGATTGTCATCTTTCATCTCAATTTCTTCACCATATCTGTTCTACTATAAAAACTAAGTTTTTAAATGTCTATAAATGCTTAGCATGGAGTTGCTCTTTTGATAACCAGAACAGGAGAATACTACTTACAGAAATTGCTAAAATTTTTTCCCTGTGGTTACTTGCCTATAATTCTTACTAGATACAGCTCTGTGATCAGACAACATGTATTTTTACCTAGCATGGGTTTTTTTTTTTTAATTGTTATTAGAAAACCTTTCTTAAAATAGCACCTTGAAGCTCAAATAGTTTATAACAGATATTTTAAAAATGTAATTTACTGAATTTAAAGACAATAACTAATTTAAAATATGTAACAGATTATATAGCTTGGGAACTCAAGACTCAATCATCCCTAAAGTAGGTCTGTGGTCAAGTCTCTAAGGAATCAATCACCCCAGATTATCATAAACATCTATCACTTTTATCGTCAGGAAAAAAAATTTAGAAAGACTTCATTGTGGATTATTTGCTTCAAGATATTCCAAACAATCTTATAATCATTACCTATTATTTGTTATGCAAACAGCTACCACAATGCCAAATGTTCATTACTGTATTAATCATTAATGGGAAGTATTATGTTAAGCACTGCTTTGCTCAGTACAAATAGCACTGAGTAGTTACTGGGTTCTACCTTGGTAAGAGTTGATACTACATTGACAAATATGAAAGTACAAAACACTCTAAAGGCTACTATTAATTGGAATTCTGAAATTTCTTCTCAAATGAGGCAGGTTTTGTGTTTGCTGGATGTTCAATATTTTATTTAGAAGAGAAATTACAGAAAAAAAGGCCACACATCACAAAAATAGCAATATACAACACACAAAATTCTAAATGGACTTTGGGTATCTTTTACTGTTTAACTCTGTAAGCTATCAAATTTTGCAACTTTCTACTCTACTCTACGTGGCAATGTTGCACATGCCAAGCTAAATAATGTTAACAGTAATGGTATAAAGCCATCT